AGTTCAATAGCTTCGCAGAAGGAACTTTCACCGTCTTTGCTGAAATGGTACATTTAATGACATCACTGTCTTTTCCTCTTTGGTTGTGGTTGGGATACTCTGACTTTTCATCTTTAGGGAAAACATTTGCATATCCCAGACAACCACAGCCATCGTTACCACCGCCTAAAATCCCATCCGAGGGAACTTAGCCTAAGCGGATAGAAGAAGATCTTCTTGAGGTTTTATTGTCCACATTGGAACATACCTGCCCTCCAGCTCTGTGGTTGGGGCTATGCCTGGAAAAGCTAGCCCAGGGCTCGCTTCCACTCTTCCTCATTTCAGATCCTTCCCTGCATAGAGCAGAGATCAATTCATGTAGAGAGGTGATCCCCCCGTTTCAGTTGTTTTGTGTGACTCTATAGTTTCTCCAGTTTTAACAGCCTGTGAATACCAGTAGGGCACATTAATAACAATGATGGGAATTTCACTGGTTCCTACCTTCATGTGCTAACACCAGAACTTAGTTCTCTGCAAAATTTCCTCCCCAAATTTCTGGGGGTCTTTGAGGTGCTTCCCATGTGCTTGCTCATGATTTTTTTTCCTCATTGCCCTACCCCACCGCTGCTGGCTAAAGGCCACAACCCCCAAAGCCACTTGAGGCTCCCACCTCTGCTGCTGCTGGTGCCCTCCTGCTCATGCCAGCATCCTTGTCTGGATTTACTAGAGCCATGCTGGCTTCCAAGCAGAAGCAGCAGGAATGCCTTGCTCCTCCATTCTGTGTCCTTGTCACATGTCCCCAAGTCTCACAGCCCCTGTGACAACCATCCCTTTAGCCTCTGCCTGAAGCTCATCTCTCCTCCAAGCTCAGAGCCAGTATCTGAATAAGCGCTACTGTGCTCTTGATTCCAATTTCCCCATCAGGCTCCTACTCAAATCTCCTCCTTCCTCCTTCAGCCAAAAACTTCCCTACAGCTTATGCAAATCATCTTTTCAGTGGGTGCATCAGCAGACAAATGGAGATTCCAGTTTGGGCCCAAACAGGAACACCCACCACAATTGCAAATCTCAACCTTTCCCATGGCTGACAGAGTGAAGAGCAGACCATTGTAGATGTATGAATTCTAACTTAGAAAGAGTGCCCTGCAAATCAGAGTCTGCCATTGCCACTAAACTTACTTTCTAGAAAGGTCTTTGTCTACCTGCTACACTCCAGAGAGGATTAAGAATCAGAACTTTTAGGTCCCGTAGGGACTGGGTGCTAAAGGACCTTCATGTTCCAGATGGGTTCTTTGTGGGCTGCCTGGAAAATGCACCATCAATTATATATTGTTTCCGTGGGGAAATGTGTCCCAAGTTCTAAGCAGTAGACTTATAAATAAACTTTATAAAATGTACACATTTATAAGTTGAGGACTTTTATAGATATTTAAAAGATAAGATTCAGAGAACTATTTGGAGCCATTCAAAATAATAGAAACAACTAACATGATATATCACTGTTTACAAAGCCCTTTCACAATAATTTGCACATTTGAACTCCAGAACAACTTTTTAAGAGAGGCAACTTTATCCCCAGTTGACAGATGAGAACACTGAGTCTTAGAAAGATGAATGATTTATCCAAAGTTGCATAATCGGTAACTTCTGAGTACAAATCTTTTTGCTTTCTGTGGTTGTCTAGCCTAAGTCATACATGGACTTGAAAATTTATGCACTGGCTTTATTTCTTGCTCTCTGATGGTGTTTCTCCAATGTTATTTATTTTTTTAATAGTATGAAAATCAAGCTTTCATGTTTGGAAAATGGGGCACTTCTGGATTAGTGGGACGTCATAAATTTTCTGATGTCACAGGAAAAATAAAGCTCAAGAGGGAGTTCTTTTTGCCTCCAAAAGGCTGGGAATGGGAAGGAGAATGGACAGTTGATCCCGAAAGAAGGTAAGTTTTTCATTTTCTGAGTAAAAGGGATGGCAATGAAGATTTTCTCTAGAAACTGCTAAATGGATCGTCTCCGTCATCACCCTGGATTATACTTACATAGCATCCCCTGAGCAGGAGTAAGTCCATAGAAATTCATAGAAAGTTGAAAGATGTCGTTAGAGTCCCATAAGGCAGACAACTATAAAAAGCACCCGGTCACCAACATTCATTGAGAACTTGCTGTGTGGGAATGTGCCACACAGTGTGCCGAGCACCGGCATCACTTGTTTACTCTTGACTCCAGCCACACAAGACGGGTGGTGGCAGGAATGACAAAGGGGCTGAGAGTTTAGCTGCCTCTTCTCACCACCGCATGACCGTGCACTGAAGTTGGGAGGAAACACACTTGTAAAGTTGAATTTCAAGGCGTCCGACTCAAGTTTGGTCTCTCTGCCGACAAGACGGGTGGTGGCAGGAATGACAAAGGGGCTGAGAGTTTAGCTGCCTCTTCTCACCACTGCATGACCGTGCACTGAAGTTGGGAGGAAACACACTTGTAAAGTTGAATTTCAAGGCGTCCGACTCAAGTTTGGTCTCTCTGCCGTTTGATTCTGCAATTGCACAGGCGTCAAGGAGGGAGAGATGTGAGGACACTGCTCTGTTAATACCCGGTGCTGGCATGTGACTGCTTTTAACCCTGGACAGCCGGCTTGGGATGCAGCTGGGGGGATGGGGGGATGGCTGAGGACAAGGAAAATGGGATTTGAACTGACAGAAGAAAGGAAGGCTAGTGAGGACAGGGAAAGGATAGGGGAAATAGTGGTAGAAGAAGCAGAAAGTCAAACCTGTCAGGGTTGCATGGCATCCTGTAGGCAGCAGCCAAGGCTTTTATTCTTCTCTAGGGCCCAGTTTATACGAATGGTTGGGACTACTTGTTTCTTTATTCCTTCCCAGTGCTTGATTCTAGGGGAGGATATGACAAGGAAAAGATGTAGAGAGGGGAAGGGAAAAAGAAACCTCAGTAGGTACCTGGCAGGAGGCTTAACTCAAAGTTAGAACCTCTGTACTTTCCTCTGTGGGTTGTCAATGTAGTTCTGAATCCAAAAGTAAACTGGCGTGGCAGAAAGTCACTAGGGATTTCTCAAGTGCCCGAATGGAGTTTGGAGTCTCAAATGACCTGGTTTGGCTGTCTACCAGGAAACTATCCAGAAAATGTAAAATCCTCCCTTCAGTTTGTGCTATGTAGAGCAAGGAAGCTGTGAGCAAACATTTCCACGCATGGGTCCATGAAACTGTCTCCACTCCATTTTTAAAAAACAGAGGGATGCAGGGGGATGACTCCCTTATTCTTTTGAACAGTTAGCCAAGAGTTTCACTGAGAAAAACCTGAGCAGCCTGAACTAACACAGAAATATGGAAGGCTCTATCTGTGGTCCCCTTAAGAAGCTGCCCGCGTGGTTTTCCCAGTCCCCACCCTAATGACTGAGAAGGAGCAACCTTGCTAATTTGAGGAGTCATGGAGATAATTTAGGTCGCATTGCTCCAGACGGCCCTTTCTTCGAAGGAATGTCAGAAGCTATTATAAAGAATGTCAAGAGAGGAGTTTGGAGTGGAGAATCCAAAGGGGTCAAGTGAGGAGGGGACAGGTACCACTCCCGGGGACAGATGCTCTCCCTCCCTTGGAAAGAGCTGGGGTGGTCCACACCGCTTCTCCTTGGGTAACACGAGCCGTCGCCCGCCCACAGCTTGCTGACCGAGGCGGACGCGGGTCACACGGAGTTCACCGATGAAGTCTACCAGAACGACAGTCGCTACCCCGGGAGCGAGTGGAAGCCAGCCGAGGACACCTACACCGATGCGGTGAGCAGCCTCACGGGAGAGAAACCTCTCCCTATTGTCTCTGTGAATCCCAATCTGCTGGAAACCCACCCATTCTTATGTTAAAATCATAACAAATGAAATGTTCAAGTCTCCTAAAAATCCAAACAGTGTTAAAGTGAAATGAAAAGTAATTCTTCTCTCTGATGCATATTCCACTCCCCAAAGACAACCATTGATAGCAGTTTTCTGTTCATATACAAGTACATACATGTATATAACTTGAATATAATACATGCAAGCATATAACATCTGTTTTCGCTGCCTAAATAGAATCATGTACACACAATTCAACTTGTATTTTTCACATAATAATATACCTTGGGCATCTTTTGATATCAATATGTATAGATCTATAAATTTTTTTCTACGTACCTACTGTAATTTATTTAACTAATCCCTTCCTCATGGACACTTAGGGTCACACAATTCAACTTGTATTTTTCACATAATAATATACCTTGGGCATCTTTTGATATCAATACGTATAGATCTATAAATTTTTTTCTACGTACCTACTGTAATTTATTTAACTAATCCCTTCCTCATGGACACTTAGGGTTTTTTTGGTCTTCGATTTTTATAAACACTGCAACAGTGAACATCTGTATACATACAGGTTTTTTCCACTGAAATGAAGCAGCTGAAAATTTATCTTATCTACCTGTCTGAAATTCTGATTTTATATGCATATTGGGTTTTTTTGTTTGTTCGTTGTTTTTTTTTTTAACTTTTTTCAATTGAAACAGTTGATTATGTGTATGTGTGGGGTACAGAGTTGAATATCGCTATTTGTGTGCAATATGTACAAACACTTATTCACTTATGAAAGTTTATCTGTAGGAAAGATCCTTGATTAAGGTTTAAATGCATATAAAAATGCATATAGAATTTTGATAAATGTTACCAAATTGCTTTTGAAAGAGGTTGCCTAAATTTATATTTCCAGCAGCAGTGAGTGAGAGGGCTGTTTGCATAAACACTCACCATCTCACTTATCATCTTTGCCAAGACATGAATAAGTGGTATCTTGCTGTTATTTCAATTCCAACTCTCTTAATTTAAAACGAAACTGAGTATTTTTCCATATGTTTATGGACCAACTTTATTTACGTTACTTTTTTGAACTTTTCCTGTGTCGGTTTTTATGCAGACTTAAGACAATATTTCACATGAACTTTGCTCAATCTTATTTGATTAGCATCATGAACCTCCGGTCACATTTCCCTGTGCTTGAAAACAGGTGCCTTTAATATTTTATCCATTCTCTGATGGGTTCTTTCCTGTATAACCCCTCATAAAGATAATTGCACCAGTTCATAATATTAAGCTGAACTATATGAAATTACTGGTGTTCAATCACTTTGACCTACTAAAACAGCAATTTCACATGGTTCAATGTAATACTATTCCCTAATAGTAAAAATAGAAGGTAGTTTAAACAACTAATTTTTATGTGGCAATTGTGCATAAATAAAGATGAAAGTTTTCTGAGAAAAACGGATCTCTACAGTGGTATCTAAGTAAATATGTGGATACCATAGTTCAGCGTGAGAAATAGTATCTCTCACCTTTGCATCTTATTGCATCTTATGGCTTATCTCTCTTCTTTTTGTTTTTTTGTGTTTTTATTTTTTTTAAAGAATGGCGATAAAGCAGCATCACCCAGCGAGTTGACTTGTCCTCCAGGTTGGGAATGGGAAGACGATGCATGGTCCTATGACATAAATCGAGCAGTGGATGAGAAAGGTAATGTCTTACATCTATTGCCTCACTAGGGGCTCTGCAGTAGGGTCTTGGTAACCAGAGTGAAGGTTCCTTGGGAGGAAGGGGTCTTCCCTCTGTTGATCTTTGGCAACCAGGTCATGTGGTGCTATCTGTGACTATTCAAATGGAGATTCTGAGGGACGGGTCCTGGGTGTGAGGATGTCAAGAGTGAAAAATATCAAGTGATAGTGGGCCAACTAGTTGGCCTTCGAGATGCTTGGGGATCCAGGATGAAAATTTGGGAGGGAGTTGAAGTTTGGATTTTATCTATTCTAACCACACCCCATAATCTCCCTGGAACATCACTCTCAGGGGCCCTCTAACTGAGAAAGCAGAACTGTAAAATGCCTAAAAAGTCATCCCATTCCGCAATAGTGCAGATTGTTGACATAGCTTCTGTTAATGGTGTTTATCTTTTTCTATGAAAAGTAATCTAAAGTTAAGTGAACTATAGCATTTGGAATTATCAAGAGAGAAAATGTTACTTTTTTTTTTTTTTAAGAGGAAATAGTGCATAGAAAAAACTGGCATTGATACAAAAGATTTCAAATAGATTATAAGTTCCTCACTGTTTTTGATGCTCATACCAGGTCTTATAATAATTGTTAGCATTGACTGAGCACCAGCTCTGTGCTAAGCATGGCCCTAGTGCTTTGCATACATTATTTTGATAGTCTTAAAATAACCCTATAAAAAGGTGTATTTTACCTTTATAATGGGAAATAAGGACCATAGGCAGGTTTACCAACTTGCAGGAAACTCACTTAGCAAATAGCCAGCCATGAGCTGGTACTGGGATTTGAACCCAGGTTGTGTGACTATGTGGCTCACACACGCCTTTACCCACCCTCCCCTTCTGTCCTTGAACTGTGCTTTATTCTTAAATGCACTCAATTACTGTGAGTGACTGGGAGTATAAAAGTGGAGGCACATCCCTGGCCACAAAGGAAGCTTTTGAGGAAGGAGCCAGGGATTGAGGCTGTATCCAGTCTGGCTGAATCACAGCAAAGTGAAAGGAGCAGTGCGTTCAGTCGTGATAGTAGAGAACGTTTGAGGGCAAGAGAGTTACTGGATGTTTCCTGCAGGTTTATTTGGCAATTTGGCAAATGCATTGCTTTCTGTTAACCATTCACAAACTCTGTTCCAGGCTGGGAGTATGGAATTACCATTCCTCCTGATAATAAGCCCAAATCGTGGGTTGCAGCAGAGAAAATGTATCATACTCATAGAAGGCGAAGGCTGATCCGAAAACGCAAAAAAGATTTAACACAGTCCACTTCAAGTACTGCAAAGGTAAGAGGAGATGTGGAAGGGAGCTGGGCTGAGGAGCTCTGTCTTCCAGACCACACTGAGCTCCAGTTTAACAGGCTACTTCCATAGAAGCCTGATGCTGTGCTCGAGGGTTCTTGAAGTGTGCCCACCCCAACCAGGCAACATCACCATCACCTGGGAATTTGTTAGCAATGCCTCACCCCAAACCTACTGATTTGGAAATTCTTCAGGTGGGCCTAGCAATCTGTATTTCAGCAGGTCTTCTAGGTAATTCTGAGACTGGCTAAATGTTGAGAACTGCTATAGAGGTATTAACAGAAACTGAAATTATTTTAGCAGCATAGTCTAGCATTGGCAATAGCTCAGGGTTTGGAACAAGATACATAAGCATTCAAATCTGGACTTTACTTTTCTTATCTGCAAAATGGGAATAATATCTATACCCATCTAATTGGCATACAGTAAGGCTTTAAATGGAATAAGAATAAATTAAGTGGAACAATAATACTCGTAACAATAATAAGTGGCATGTTTGTGTGCCTTTTATAATGCTAGATACCGAATATACATCATCTACAATCTGTAAAGTCTGGATTTTATGCCCATTTTACATGTACTGCTCACAGAGCTTAAATAAACTTGCTCTGGGCCATGTGTCTAGTAACTGACAGAGCCAGTGTTTGAACCCGGGCTAAGCTAATTCTACTCCAAAAATTCTATTGCACAAAATGCCTGACTCTGGTAGGTGCTATTGAGTCACTTTTATTAAATGGTGAGCTTCCTGGGAGTAAAAATGGAGCCATAGTTATCTTTGTATCCTCCTTTCTAGGTCAGAAACTTGCTTCCAATAAATAGTGAAGTAGAATGAATGAGCTGATGAATGAATAAGCCTTTGTTATTGAATTATCCCATCCTGATAGGGTGAAAAGTTTCTGGAGGTGCTTGACTCTTTCCTTCCACATGACAGCACCAAGGTGAAGTGGGAAGAACACTGGGCCACGAGTCAGAAGACCCAGAACTGTCTCAGTCCAACCAATGAGTATTTCTGAGACTTTGATCATGTTTCCTGCCTCACTCTTGGCTACATGAAATATTTCATTGCCACTATTAACATTACAATAGGGTCAGTCTATAAGATTATGTTTAAGCTGGATTGTATGTTTATTCAGAGTGAAAAAAGCCGGACACTACAATAACAATAATCCACATGAAGCTCTTATTTCTAAGGTCATAAATATTACTTTTCATTTATTAAATCTTCTAAGATATTTAAGTAAAATTTCTGCCACTAAAATGTCAGCTACACGAAGACAATGGCCCATGTCCTTCACTGCTTCCTCAGCCCTTAACACAATCCCTGTCTCATAGTAGGCCTTCATATTTGTTGCATGAATAGAATAAAACATTAAAACTGAGATCATTTATACATAAATAGTTTTTAAGCTGAAAATTGCTGTACTTTTAATTTTAATTTAATACCTTTTAAATTAGTTATTACAGAAGTAATATACTCTGATCTGTCATTTAATTATTAGTTATGACAGCCATTAGCTTAAGCAAGACATTTAAACCCTAAAAAGGGGGCGTCAATTTTTTTCCTCTCTATAAAAAATGGAGATTATGATGCATCCCAAAGTAAATCACAATAGCAATGTTCTTATGAACTAATGAAGTGAGAAAACAGAAGGCAATTTAAGAAAGAATCCACTCACTTCACCCCACCCCAAGTCCAAATAAGATGCCCTGCCTGAGGGTACATCCACCACATGCCAGCATCTCACTGCACTGTAACTGTCCGGCTATCTCTCTGTTTTCCCACAGCACATCAGCCCCACGAGGGCAGAGGTCCTGTCTGTTTGTCCTTTGCTGTATTCTTGGTTCCTAGCATGGTGCTTGGCACAGAGTAGATTTTCAGTACATTTTTGTTGATTAGCCAAATAACCTGCTTTATCAATATAAGAAATGTTATTATTATTATTATTATTACTATTATTAAAAGTTTTACTTCTGTTTCAGGCCATGGAAGAACTTGAAGACCGGGAGGGCTGGGAATATGCTTCTTTAATTGGCTGGAAGTTCCACTGGAAGCAGCGTAGTTCTGATACCTTTCGCCGCAGACGCTGGAGGAGAAAAATGGCTCCTTCTGAAACACATGGTTCAGCTGCCATCTTTAAACTTGAGGGTGCCCTTGTAAGTGATAAGTAGCCAAAGAGCAAATAATATCGGTATAGAGAAAATATGTGAGTGCTGATTACAACACTGCCGACTCCTTTGAGGTCCCCGGAACCCCAGTACTGTAAGACTGTGAATATATTGAGGGAAAGCTACACACCCATGTGCTTGATCATGTAGAATGAATACACTGTTAACATATGAACGGTTCTAAGAAATACTACTGCAGACACACCTGTTTCACCCAGCACTTTCTAAATATATCTGTTCCAGAACCCTTATTCCAGGTAACATCTATTAACATCCAGGCACAGGTTCCTCGGATCATACCTTGGAAACCGCAGCTGTTCAACAAACCAAGAGAGTTCAACACAAGGGTACTTAAAAACATTCATGGAGAGATTCATATTACCTTTCAATTCTATTTTTCCCCACTAACTTTTTGAAGTAGCCTCATATACAGGTGTGAGGGGGAGGAAAACAGGAGGAGGGCTCCCCAAATCAGAAGACGATTAGAGAACATACGAGAGCCCAGGGAAGGAGGCAGGCGGCAGGCACGGACAGGAACACGGCAGTGGATGATCTAGAACGGTGGTGGTCAGGGACCATTTCCAAGTAGCGTGTGCTTGCACTTCTGCACCCTGCCCCCTCTGTGTCCTTCTGCTACTGCTCTTTCTCTTCCTTCTCTCCTCCTTTAATCCCCTTATTTATCCTCTGCCTTTCTCCTCTTTTCCCATTCTTTCAGCAGCAGAGCTTAAACCTAGACTCAAAGTAGAAGGCTGGCTTTGACCTCCTGCTCTGCTGCTTTCCAGCTAGGTGACTTTAGGGAAGTCACCTGCTGTCTTGGGTCTTATTCATTTTTTAAAATGTGGTGATTGGACAATAAGATCTCTTTAAAAAGCCACCGCTTGTATACAATTCTTGCCTCTTGGTTGGCCGTTCTGTTTTGAGGCAGTGTTCATTGGTTTCTCTGCCTCTTACTTTAGGGGGCAGATACTACTGAGGACGGCGATGAAAAGAGTGTGGAGAAACAGAGGCACAGCGCCACCACTGTGTTCGGGGCAAACACTCCCATTGTTTCCTGTAATTTTGACAGTGAGTTTTACACTTGTCTTTGTGAATTCCACTTCTATAATTTTTATCTCAAGGAAACTCTTTCAATCTCCAAATAGGATAAAAATTTCTTTATGCTGGGGCCGGCCCGGTGGCGCACTGCTACAGTGTGCCGCTTGGGAGCGCAGCGCCGAGGGTTCAGATCCCACATACAGACCAGTTCCCGCTCACTGGCTGAGTGAGGTGCGGGTGCAACACTGAGGGTTGCGATCCCGTTGCTGGTCCCGGTCCAGTACAGGCGCGACACTGAGGGTTGCGATCCATTGCCGGACACGAAAAAAGACAAAAAGGAAAAAAAAAAAATTTCTTTATGCTAACATGACTTTCATTTTTATCACTTGATGAAGAAGATTTTTAGAAATATACTTTTAAAAACTGTATTGTATTCGGGGTGAAAGGTGGTCAAATCACTGATTTTAACATAGCCTGTCGAATATGTGCTCATTCTATCTAGTAAGCCCCTCCTCCAAGTTATTATTTTATTAGAAAAAAAGTCTCAAAATTTAAATAAACGTTGGTTTCCATGATAACCTTCAGGTATTTTGGAATGAGGCAGACCTATTTTATAATAATAATAATGATAGCAAATACTTATTTAGGTCTTAACCTGTGCCAGGCACTGTACATGTAGTAACTCATTTAATCCTCATAATAACCCTTTAAAAGAGGTGCTGTATTTGATCCCATTTTACAGATGAGGAAACCAAGGTATAGGAAGATTAAACAACTTGCCCAGGGTCTTGTAGCTTATAAGTAGTAGAGAGAAGATTTGAACTCAGGTACTTGGTCTCCCAGAATCTGTGCACTGAATCACAATGCTCTACTATTTCTCATGGCACATGTGTGTGCAGTAATATAATAATAAAAAGGAGTATAAAGATTTTGAAATGTCAAAGAAACTTTTAGCAGATAACTGCTTCCCAGATCTGGTGTTGAAGTAGTGTAGACAGCCTTAGTTCTATAACTGCTGGAGACCCAGTTTCATTTTAAAGATTATGATGACAAGCAGTACCCTAAATCCATGTAGTTTACAACAGGTGTAATGTTCTCCTGACCTGACTGGCATACTTGCATTGAGCTTACTATACGTATTTTTTTAAATGAGTTTTATTTTACAGGAAACAGAGCTGCTTTGGGAAGATACCTCATCACTACTACATGTGCTCTTTACTGTGGGGAACTAGATTCAAGTGACCCATTTATCTGAGATATACTAATATATTGTTTCCAAATATTCCAGAAAAATAGCGATTTATAGTGTTATGTTTTTTGTAAGTAATCGCCATCCTGTTCTTTTTAGGAGTCTACTTATATCATCTGCGCTGCTATATTTATCAAGCCAGAAATCTCATGGCCTTAGACAAGGATAGCTTTTCAGGTAAAGGAAAAAAAATCCCCATGCCACACATTATTACATAGCAGGCTAGTTCGATTCTAATTTTCATCAAGTGGGTGCTTTTTGTCATTTATAATGCTAAAAACCCTTTTCATGTTGAAATTAGTTTGTTAAGCTTGAAGTAAACTGCTCAGTTATCAGATAAATAATTACTGAACACTTCAAGCATTGTTGTTGGGTGCTGGAGATACATAGGAGATACATGGTTTATTTATACTGATAATCACTGATTGATTAAGTAATAAAAAGTACCAAGAAGAGCAATTTCTGCTCTCTATTTATACATATGGTTGTGTGTTTAATCTCGTGCACTTGGGTTGACTGCTAAGTTAAGATCCTTTAAGTTTTCTTGTAGCTCTCTCAAGTTGACAAAAAGATCACATATTCACCCATTTGCCTACAGCACCCTGCCTTGAGCAGTTTGGAGTCCCATTTTGAGCTCCTCTGCTGCCCGTTGCCCACGTTCCCAACCATAAAACCATGAGGCTCTATCATTCCTCACACTGACATCTGGCTGGTTTTGTTGCCTTTGGACTGGTTCTATGAGGAAGGCTGTTGGAAGGGGAAGGGTAGGATTGCAGAACCTGCCTGCCTGGGGATTTGTGTTCTTGCTTGTGGAACCATGGATAGTTCAAGGTCCATCCTGGGCTATTTGGGAGCATTCCACCTTGAGGCCTGAAGCTCAGCCAGAGCTTCCCTGAGCCTTCTGTAGAAACATCTCTTAAAGCATTTACCTGACACTTGGTGTGCTCACATCAATTTTGAAGTGTTCCAAGTACTAATGTTAACCAACATTTATAAATGGTTTCCTTTTTTGCAAATTAGACCAGATTCAAGGTTATCCATATAATACACATCTCCAAAGCATTTTTGAAGACATTTTCAAATATTCTCCACCAGGGGGCACTCCATCACTGAAAGTGAAAGTTCAAATCCTATCAAAATTCTTGACTAAAGTTTTATAAAATTCTAAGCACAATCCTTGCAGTTTGAGATATAAGATTTATCATCAGGGCAAATGCAAAAAGTTCCTTCCATTCATATGACAGCTTCCTGAAATACTAAAAAGCATGCATGCTTTTGGTTTATGCAACAGCTTCTGGTTAAATATTAGGTTATTGCTCAGATAGGTCAGCCTCCAGGGAACTGCAGAAAGGTTTGATGAAATTATTTACTGTGGAGGAGGACAAGGATTACTTCTTAGTTCATAAGATTGCTTTCATTCCATTCTCAAGTACAGTGAAACAAAGTTTTCTATCACAGATTGAAAACCCTGTGAGCATCTGAGCCCCTCCTGTTTACTATTATACTCTTGAGACCTGGAACTCAGTAAATATTTGCTTAATAATGTATTGCCATTGACATTAAAAACAATGCTAAAAACTAGCATTTATCGAATACTCCCTATGTGATGTGCTCTGTCCTAAGTAGCTTACATTTTTTTTTATATCATTTCATCCTCTCAGCTCTATAAAGCAGATATTATTTTCATTGTTTGGAGGAAGGAACCAGAGTTTGGGAAGATTAAGTGTTTTCCCCAAGGTCATGTAGCAGGAATGGAAGGGGAATTAAAATGCAGGGGTGTCTGACTTCAAAGCCTGCACTCAACCACGAGTGCAGTACCCTTGCAGAGAAAGATTGTGTATTCTGCCATTTGCAGCAACATGGATGAGCTCAGAGAAAATAATCTTAAGTGAAATAAGCCAGGCACAGAAAGAAATACCATGTGTCCTCACTCATAAGTGGGAGATGAGAGAGAGAGAGAGAGAGAGAAAGACCGCAATGAAACGTTGAACTTTCAGAAGGAGAGGACAGGCCCATAGTTACTAAAGGTGGGAAAGGGGAGGTGGAGGGGGGTTAGGGAGTAATTGGGTAAGGAACACAAAGAGTTATTATGATTTGTAAGATGAACATGCTAATAATATTGATTTGATCATCACATCCTGAACACAAATACTGATAGTCAACTCTGTACCCCATAAATATGTATAATCAAAAATTAAAAATAAAAAGATCGTGTGCCTGAATAACCTTGACGGGGACATACTCCAAAGAGAGGACCCTCAGCCCACATCAGGGCCTCCTTTTCAGGTGCCTCTGCTGCAGTGCCAGACTCCATCCCCATGCCACCCTCCCCTGCTATGCCCTGCTCCCTATCTCCAGGCAAGTGGTGAGAGTACAGGATCATTGTATCCAAAGGAAAAGCATGCAGTTGAAATGAGTGGTCCTGGGAGCTAGACTTTAGCCATGGCCCCACTGATAATCTCTTTTTCTCTTTTAGATCCATATGCTCATGTTTCCTTCCTCCATCGAAGCAAAACCACCGAAATCATCCACTCAACCCTAAATCCCACATGGGACCAAACAATTATATTTGACGAAATTGAAATCTATGGGGAACCCCAGGCAGTTCTGCAGAACCCACCCAAAGTTACCATTGAACTTTTTGACAATGACCAAGTGGTAGGTAATTTAGAATTTCTAAGACGACTTGGGGGATGATGGAGACTCGAAGGGATGTTTGTAGGGGAATATAGGATTGCTTGTTTCTCTAGGGCAAAGACGAATTTTTAGGACGAAGTATTTGCTCTCCTCTCATGAAACTCAACTCAGAAATGGACATCACACCCAAACTTCTCTGGTACCCAGTAATGAATGGAGACAAGGCCTGTGGGGATGTCCTTGTAACTGCAGAGCTGATTCTGAGGGACAAGGTACACTGCTGCGTTCCCACTCATATATTCCTTCAGCTGCTTAGAACACTTAATAATTCTAAGCAGTGTTTGTTGCACTCAAGGGAGGTGTTAACATTTCCATGCTTGTTTCACAGGATGGCTCCAACCTCCCCATTCTTCCCTCTCAGAGGGCACCAAATCTCTACATGGTCCCCCAGGGAATCAGGCCTGTGGTCCAGCTCACTGCTATTGAGGTATGTCGCTCTCTAAGTTTTGTTGATCAGATCAAATGATCAATAAAACTGGAATCTTTTGTGTAGGAAATGAAATCCCACTGCATGTTTTTCTGCTGTCTCTAACTTCCTATAGAATTTATCCATAAACTTAAACTATTCATGAAAATTGAAGGCTTGTTGAAGCAATGAGGGGAGGTTAATCCCAACATTACTGAAGGAATCTAGAATCCTTATTTACTGGGAAGAAGCAGATTTCTGAGTTTTTCAGGTCAACCGGATAACTGGGAGAGGGATGGACCAGAAGAGTGTCTGTGTGTGTGTGCAGAGAGAGGCAGACCTGAGAGGGAGGCAAAGCTGGGAGGGGCAAGGAGTAGTGGGCAATGGGGCCATGTCAGACGGTCGAGGCAGAGACAGGCTGATGGCACTGACCGGGTGGCTTGATGGGCAGTGTCTGGCCTACTCGCAAAGCTTCCCCCTTGCCCAGTCAAGCAGCTGTTACCCCAAGATTTCCATTCTCCATCTGTTTTGCTAAGAGTTCTCAAAGATTGAGGCAGGTGACTCTCAATAACGGCTATCATTTTTTTAATACTTTCATGTCAGACACCATGTTAAGAAGTTTACACCTGATCCTCAGAATAACCCTGTGGTAGACAATAATAATATCAGTCCTGTTTGTAGACGAGACAGAGAGAAGTTCATTAACTTGTGGGCATTAGCTGTTACAGGGCACCGCTGGGATTTGCTTCCTACTCTCTTAACTGCTCTGCTTTTTTTAGTGGCTCAGGCAGGAGAAGGGGAGGGACAAAACCGATTTCTTTGTGTGACCTTCAGGCTTTCTAGGATAATGTTCAAAGATAGTTTAGGCAAATCTGTACAAATTAATGTTAAAGATTTTACCAGTTAAAGTAGAATTTTTCCTTTTGAGTATTATTTTTAATGTGCTGGGTTTCTTCCCTTCTCTTTAAATTGTTTTCTTAGATTCTGGCTTGGGGCTTAAGAAATATGAAGAACTACCAGATGGCTTCTGTCACATCCCCCAGTCTCATTGTGGAGTGTGGAGGGGAAAGGGTAGAATCGGTGGTGATCAAAAACCTTAAGAAGACACCCAACTTTCCAAGTTCTGTTCTCTTCATGAAAGTGGTATCGTGTCAAGACTCTAATAGTCCATGTGTGTTGCATAGCTGAGTTTTACTTGAGATTGAATATGCACACCACACACACACACAGTTATTCATTTCCCAAATCTGACAGCAAATAGAAAAACCCTGCCTTACATTGAGCTTGTCAATGACTTTTCACCCTTAGATTCTCACACTGTTGTGCTGGTTTCTTAAAGTTTCAAACCACTCCAGTGACACAAAAATATCTGTGAGCAATACTCATTTATTTTTCTGGTAAACTTTCCATCTATTTGGCTATCTATTACAGACTCTCGGTCACTGGCCTGAGGGCAGAATATTAACCCCAGTCCTGCCCCTATGGATGTACATGGACCAGAACCCTCTGGATATGGATTGGCCAGCTGGGGAAGGGGCAGCTGTGGGGGAACCCATAGGGCCTGGCCCTAACAGCCCATGACTGTGCCCTACCTCCAGGTGTCCTTGGGTGTCACCCGCTTTGTTCCTTTGAGGCTACCCTATGATTATTATAAATGTGAGAGCATCGGATCCAGTCCATCATCCTCCACCCCAGACCCCATGATACCTGGAGCAAGAAGAGGTCACCCCATCTTTCCATTTTTAAAGCAGTTAAATCCTTCACTTTTACAAAATGAAAAATCTTTCTTTTCACTCCACTATATAAAAGAGGTTAAAAAAATATAGGTATTTCCTTAGCTTGAAGGGGTGGAAGGCCTAGAACCTTCCCACTCCTTTTCTTAGCCCAGTCATTTTCCTGCCCTGGATGTCTCCAGCACACTGTTCTGAACTCTGGGGTCATGTGGTTTAACTTCTCATTTTACAGATGAGGAAGCAGAGGCCTGGAGAGGGCAAATGACTTATGCAACCTCATAGTGAGTGTCAGGCCACACCTCCTGTGCCACAGTCACTATGACCCAACTACAGCAACAGCTACAGCTCGGTCCTAGTGCATTCGTACTCTGTGCCTTTAGTCTTTACTCCTCACCCCTCTTATGCCCCCTGTGGAGGAAACCAAGAGGTGAACGAATTTACACAAGGGCACACGGCTAGCAAGGGGGTAGCCAGAGTTTGGACATAGGTCTCTCCAATTCCAAAGCACATGTTCTTCTCCCTATAAGGCTGCAGATGGAAAGCTGCCTGGATGCTCTGAGCCAGAATCCCAAAGTGGTCCCCCCTGGGCCACTGCACTCATCCCTGTCCACTCCCCAGCCCCTCCCCTGCCTAGTTCTAGTCTGGAATCTAGCCTTGGTAAGCAGAGGTGAGAAGAGCCACCCAGTGCAGCCCAGCTCCTATTCCTGTGCACGGCCAGAGATAGAAATCCACCTTAACCATACTCCAAGCAGGCCCCTACACCAGCCCATGATTCCTCATCAAGCAGTGTCACCAAAGCCACAAAATTCCACGCGGAGGAACCAGGAAGAGTCAAGGAAAAATGAGCATCCCATTTTGGCACTGAACTAAAAGATTTGGCGCTAAAAGACTTGGAGGTTCAGTTTTGTCTTGACCACTTCTAAATGCTGCTCAGGACTTGGCTAGTAAATTACCAAAGTCCTGGGCTTGTTAGCCTTCTGCAGATCCCCTCTCAGGAAGCTGAGTATGGGGTCAGTGGTAAAGAATGCTGATCTCACATCATGTTAGCTAACACAGGGCACTTTTCATGGGCCAGATACTATTCTAAGCACTTTGCTTACATTAATTCAACAACCCTCCTGTTATTGATGGGATAACTGGAGCATAGAGAGGTTAGAAAAATTCCCTAAAGTTTATGCAGTTCAGAGAGGCAGAGCCAGGATTTGATCCCAGGAGGTCTGGCTCTGTATTAGTCCATTTTTGTTAATTATAACAGAATATGTGAAACTGGGTAATTTATAAGAATATGAACTTTATTTCTTACAGTTTTAGAGGTGGAGAAATCCACAGTTGGGGTGTATCTGGTGAGGCCTTTTGGGTGGGAACTCTTTACAGGGTCCTGTGGCAATTCAGGGTATCACATGGCGAGAGGATGGGAAGACCTCTCTCATGTGCTCCTTATAAAACCACCAGGCTACACCCATGGTAACTCACTACTCCATGAATGGATTAATCCTTTCATGAGGGCACAGTCCTCATAGTCCAATCACCTCTCAAACGCCCCACCTTTCAAATATCATAATTGGATTTTCCACCCTCTTAACACTATTACAGTTGGGATCAAGTTTCCAACACATGAACTTCTGGGGGACACACTTGACCCATAGCAGGCTCTGAGCTCATATTCAAGCACTGAGCTCCTGCCTAGCACATAAGGAACTGAACTATTTATTGTGAGTCCTCTGGGCTATGGAGCAAAAATAATCTGGGTTGGGGAATTTACTGGCATAGCTGCCTGTTGGGAAAATAGAATATTTTAATCAGGCCCCCTCACCTGCCTATCTGGTCGGGGGTGGTGCGGTGCATTCTTTGTAAGCAAATTGTGTTTGGGGGGTGGAGTCAGTGCACTTGCACAGTGCTGTGACCTTGGCTGGTGTTGACTGCCTCGGGTGGCTGTTGCCTTGCACAGCCATGCTCGCCAACCTACAGCTTCCAAGGACCTGTTTGCCAGTTACCTAGCTCAGAGACCTGTGTGTGAGGGGTCTGGTGACCCAGCCTGGGATGTGAGGGGTCTGATGACCCAGCCTGGCGTGTGAAGGGCTTGTGACCCAGTCTGGACAATGGGCTTGAGGGGTCTGTGAGCTCCAGACTCAGCCCTAGCTCTACAATTGTCCCAGTTTGCAGGATTATGGGCAGGTAAAAGAGCTAGACACTGCCCTTGTCAAGTCTTGTCAAGAGAAGTGACACCTACCTTTGTGACCCCCAGTTCCTGCCCAAGGAGGAATTGTACATGCCTCCACTGGTGATCAAGGTCATCGATCACAGGCAGTTTGGGCGGAAGCCCGTTGTTGGCCAGTGCACCATTGACTGCCTGGACCGTTTCCGCTGTGACCCTTATGCAACAAAGGAGGACATTGTGCCACAGCTAAAAGGTAAAATGCAAGTCTGTAAGTAATATTTGGGGGCTTTTCATGCATGGATCTGATTTAATCTTTACAAGCCATCTCAAGGTAAGTATTTATTTATTGTCTAGATTTTGTAGATGAGGAAACAGTTTGATTTACAGTGGGCTATGTAACTTTCCCAAGGTAATATAGTTAGTAAGTGTGAAATCCCAGCCTAGTTTTTGGGTGTCCAATGCTCAAGTGATTACCCTCTGAAGTGTCCTGCTCCTGGATGAACATAAGACTTCTTTTTAGGAAATGTTAAGTGCTTCGTGAATTTTCCCAATTTACCTTTCAACAAGCAGCCTGGAGGAACAGCAGGGGCTGTTCCCACATCGGTGATGGGGATGAAGTGACTTCCTTCAACCTTCAGCAAGTGGTTATTAAACACTCATTGAATACCATGCAGTGTTCTAGATGTTTGGGGGAATTTGGGGACCAAATAGTCATGTCCCCACTCTCAGAGAGCAAGAGTTGAGCAGGGCAGACAAGCAGGGCAATAGGCTGTTGCAGTCCAGTGTCATGAATATTTTGATGAGGAAATACAGGGACCGCCCCCCGCTCCTCCCAGTAGCATTAAGAGAGGAGGAGATTTTCATTTCAAATTTCTTTCCATCTGTTGTCTCACCTCATTAATGCATCACAACATTGTTGTGATGCAGTCTGAAAGTTAGTTCATTGTTATCCACACAGGAAAAGTTTAAATGACTTGCCTTAGGTCATATAATTAATATGGAAATGATAGAACAGGGCATAATACTTACCTTAGATTTCCATAACAAATAATAGCTAATGATGTAGCATTTTGGTATTACCCGTTCAGTAATTACTTGCTTTTACCTTACCGTGTGCCAGGAACTGTGTTGTGGGTGGGGGCTGGGTCCCATCAGTGCGCAAGATCCCAGGGCCCCTGGCTTCATGGGATTAGACCCCAGTGTGGGACTGGAACACCCCCATTCAGCTGATCATTGGTAGCTTCAAGACTGAAACAGATGTCTTCTATTTAAGCAGCTGCACCACTAGCTGGTTCTGTTTAAGCTTCCATAAGGTTTGGTATTGATTTTAAAGAGCCTCTGAAACTCATGTGCTATGTGGGTCTGAGCATCCTGTATACCTGACTCAGAAAAGGGGGGAAAAATCCACAGTCACATTTGAGCAAAACCCTACATGTGTTTATCAGGAAATATCCCATGCAAAACATTTTGTGCTAAATTGATGGTGCCTAAAATGGCAACATTTTTTATAACAACAAGGATTATTGTAACTGCAGGAATCGTTTTGTTTGGGGTTACTAAATGGAGTAAACATTTTCATAGCATTTTTTTTTCATGAGATAAAGTGTCAGTTTTATCTTCTCTAGTCCAAATATGTGAAATTATCAGGAGGGTACAAATGCTACAAACTTTTTCTGGTCCCAGAATTGCTTGCATGGACCTGTTTGTGCCTAGTGGTCAGAGGTAGGCTAGGTCCGAGGCAGAGGTCTCCTGGCTAGAGAGTCTATGTAATTCATACAGTGTGTGCTTAGGCTTCGGAGAGTCCCAGAGAGGAAAATCTGTTACTTTCTTAAACCAATGATAGGGTGAGACTTGAGGAGTGTACCTTGGTTGGCCTCGTGTTGGAAGCACACGAATAACTATTTCCTCCTGTCCCTTGGGCTTTGTTTTCATGAGGATGGCAGAGTGGAGAATGACAGTGTAAGAAGGAACTTGCATACAGTTATGATCACGCGTCTCTGCCCACCCGGCTGTCACGTCCGGTATTGCTGCAGTTGTCAGGAGTTGTGGGGGAAGTTATCGTGGGAGTGTAGAGACTGCTGATAGATCTGGGGGTGACAGATGTAAAACTACCTAGCATAGCAACTGGTATATCAGAGGTGCTCAATAAATCTCAGTCTCCCCTGCCTCCCCCAAAACCCCCTGATCATTTCTCTGGCATTTATTGAGCATCTGCTCTGCTCCAGGCTCTGATATGACAGTTAAAACACAAGCTTTGGGATCAGAGAGGTCTAGATTACTTACTTCCACTTACTACTAATTGTTTAACTCGAAGCCAGTGACTTGCCTTCCCTTAGCTTCAGTTTGTTTGTTTTTAAATCTTCGAAATGAGGATAATGGTACATATTTTATAGGATTATTGAGGAATTAAATGAGATCATACTTACTACTAATTGTTTAACTCGAAGCCAGTGACTTGCCTTCCCTTAGCTTCAGTTTGTTTTTAAATCTTCGAAATGAGGATAATGGTACATATTTTATAGGATTATTGAGGAATTAAATGAGATCACGTAAGTAAAGCAATTAGCCCAATGCTTGGCACATGGTAGGTAATGAAAAAATGTGCCTTCCCTCCCCACCTGTACATCCTATATGTCAGTTACCTTGGTGGGTTAAACAGAAAGTTATTTAGGCTTGGAGGAGTTTGCTCTGCCGGGGTTCTGGCCTTCTGTTAAATGTCTGACTGGCTGATGCCTTCTTCAGTAAAAGGGAGATGTGCCTCTCACCCCACCTCCACTCCAGACTGAGGCTGTGACACCCCCCTTAGCTGAACCGAACCTAGTGAGCCCAGGGGCTGGTACTGAGCCCTCGCTGTAACCCCCAAATCCTGAGTCACAAATATTTGGGGAATTGTACATAAAGCTAAGGCACGAGCCTTCTCCCCCAAATACACTGTGGGAACAGGGCTGAATAAGCCACCACAACTTCAGACCTGAACTATGCAACCCTCCATTTGCTTTTTCTTTCCTTTCTTTTCCTTTTAACAGGGCTGAATAAGCCACCACAACTTCAGACCTGAACTATGCAACCCTCCATTTGCTTTTCCTTTCCTTTTCTTTTCCCTCTCCTCCCCTCCCTTCCTCTTGTCCCCTCATTTTCTGTCTTAGGAACAAACTCCTAGAAAAGAAGGCTCCTTTAGAGGTGGGTTTCCCTACCCCACCTCCACTCCTGCATCTTCTAGAGACAGGTATTGACACAATTGACAAGGACTTCTTTTTGAGCACTTCCATGTACAGACACTAGGCTAATTGTGCTAAACAAAAGGAAAATGGACCATACGGTCCCCTAGAAAATGTCTAAAACTGTATATTTTGGGAAAAGTGATGAATTGTTGGGTTATTTTCTACATTTGGGTGTGGCCCTCTCCACTAGTAAGTTTCGTCCAGGAATAAGCTCTCTGAGGATACTTCAAAAAGTTCAGGGAAAAATTCGAATTATCTTTTAATTCTATTTTTCCACGAATTTTCCGAACTACCTTTGTACCATCCGTCTTTTGGCTGTTGAACTTGAACTCGGAGTAGATGTTCACTGCTGTATTTTTCTAAGTATCTTAGATTATAAAACTGTTTGCTTTGCAGCCTCCCTTCTGGCTGCCCCACCCTGCCGGGATGTTGTTATTGAAATAGAAGACACCAAACCATTACTGGCTTCTAAGGTAGGCTTCAGAACTGATCATTGGATACTGTAAATCTTATCTTCAAGATGTCTAACCATTCAGTGAATTCAGTCAAACAACCATTCAATGCAATTAAAATAATCATCAAACAAATTTATCAAGGACTGAGTAGAGACAAGAATCTGAGGTGTGCACTCATCAGTAGTTAGGATGACATTGTGTGTGCTAGTGGTCCTCAACCCTCAGTAATCAGTTACCCAGGATACTTAAAATAATACCATGTCAGATCCTACCTCCGGCCCCTAAGACGGAGAGGGACCTAGACATCAGTATATTTTCAAATCTCCCGAAGTGATTCTACCATGCATGCAGGTCTGAGAACCACCGGCGTGGGCAGTTTGAATGACATCATTGGCTAGAAAGAGAAGTTTTCAGAGCAGATTTACAGCACTGCAACATTCAGAACAGGAGTGAATGACATCATTGGCTAGAAAGAGAAGTTTTCAGAGCAGATTTACAGCACTGCAACATTCCATTCAGAACAGGATCATCATTGGCTAGAAAGAGAAGTTTTCAGAGCAGATTTACAGCACTGCAACATTCAGAACAGGAGGCATGCAGTACGTCAGGTTTTTGTCTCCACGAAGCAGGAGTGTCATGGATTTTTAATGTCCCCATTTGTCAGTATATGGGACATCCCAGATTTTTATATTAACTGTGGTTTTGAAGTGAAGAAATTGGTGGAAATGCTCACTCAGGACTCTGTTTTTAAAATCATTCCAGCCACTTTTACAAGAAGAAAAGGGGGGTAAATCCAGAAAAAAAGAAAACACCAAATACCTCCCTGTTTCTTTTGGCATTTATGATAAACATTCACAGCATGATTTAATGTGCAAACTGGCTGGAAGATGCACATGATTGCACTTTAATATGTTATGTCCATAAACAGTGCCTTTAAAAAAAATCCACTTCTATCCCACTGCATTAAACTCACTAACAGTTGGACCGCACTAAATGTGGTCTCCACAGCCAGCACCGTGCAGCAGTGTGTTTGATTCAAGTCTCTGGGAATCCTACACAGTCACAAGTGACAATGTCAAATTTCCCATCCCATAGAGGAAAACTACTGTTCACTTTGTAAATAACCCCAAATATTCCCAACAAGACAGCAATAGCCTTGGGAGAAGTTAACATACTTAAGATCCTTTCTGTAGATATTTACAACTACTAATCTGGAAAAAGACAGTTTAAGCTCTTGCTCTGTAATCTGCCTCCAGCTTTACCATCTCCCATTGTCAGTAAACTCTTATTACATGCATTCTGTGTACTCAGTATCCCAATAATGAGGAGAAGAATAAAGTCAATAATCTATGCCAATATTTTCACTCATTTCTTAACAGGAGTTAATAGTTGACCAGGCTACTGTAGCAACACATTATGAAAGTTCAATTTACATCATAGAAATTATCATTGCAACACAGCAGGATTAGGGATGGTAGGATCAGTCATTCCCACCGGACTGTAAATGACTTTAACTAGGTTGCTCTCCTAACCTGATTGAGGTACACTGTGCAAGAAAAGTTGGTTGGAATTTCCTCTAAAACCCTGAGTCGGCCTGTTCATCAAGGTAGACATTGCATATCTATGCAAAGTCAAAGAGTGATGTTGAACTTTGGAAGAGCCAATTACAAGCTTGCTGATATCCTGCATTACATGTATTTGTAATGTGCATGTAATGTACATGTATTACAACTAACTCAATTCAGGCCTTGTATCTGGGTAAAGTGAGGGGATGGGTCAAAACTAACTGTGCTGATGCTGGGGACTGGAGGCTATGACTTTGGGTGACAGTGTCATGCTCCAGAAACCCATGGCATCACCCTGTAATGTTCATGGGAGCTGTTAATGAATGGGCTCAGCTTTACCACAAGAAAAATGAGAAATAAGTATTTAGGGCAAATTAGTCAAGTGCTATCTGGGTAACAAGGGCATTCCTCCATGGCCATCTCAACAACTACCTTCCAATTCCAGTGCTTAAGCAGTATGTCAACAGCACTCAGCAAAATGACTTCTCCAACAACAGTGCATGTATGTATGATGAGAACATGCATGAAGCTGCTGGGACCGTGGGGCCTCGGTCTAAAGACTTCAGTTCTTCTTTCAGATTCTTTCTATTAGTAGATTTTGGAGTGAAGGGTAATCTTTAAACAAATATGATTGTTTTAAGCCTAAGGGAGGAATCTTCTGTGCCATTTGATGATTTGACTCCCACTGCAAGCTCATTATTAGAGATACTAAAGCAAGTCACATTCCTTGCTTTGGTTACTTTTCCACATGTACTAATGAGCAAGTAAGCATGAATAAATTCTCCCATACTAATCCCAAATTTTAAAATCAGCAACTTGTCTTGGATAATGCTCTTTAAATCATGAACTATTCCTTTCTTCGAAGTTCTTTTGAATATTTGAAAAAATAGGTGTGAATAAACAGACTAAAAATCTGAATTCAGGAACCACTGAGTATGTGAAAGATGCTCTTTAAATCATGAACTATTCCTTTCTTCGAAGTTCTTTTGAATATTTGAAAAAATAGATGTGAATAAACAGACTAAAAATCTGAATTCAGGAACCACTGAGTATGTGAAAACACTTTTGGTATAAAATCTGCCTCTCCAAAATCTCCATTCAGCTGTGATGATTTAACCCTTAATCCTGCTTTGGTATGAATCTAATAGAAAGAATTGACACATCTGTCTGTCTCTCTGCCTCTCTTGGCAATTCTGTTGTGCTGAACAAAAGTCAGGTGTCCCAAGGGGCACCTGCAGGAGAAGCCCTGTGGCCCTAGCACACAGCAGCTGCCGGAAGTGCCCATAGGGAGTTGCTCTCTCCTCACATTAGAAATGAACTTGAAGTGAAGATCAGAAAGGGGGTCTAGGTAGCGTTTCCCCAGACTGCCACTGAGGGCAAGCTTGGCTAATGTCCTAGCAGGTACCAAGAGAAAACTCAAGCCCCACATCCTAGCTCTCCATTCTCTCAACTCCTGCATGTGCCCTGAGATCAGGGTTGGATTCTCCATGCAAAAATTCCCATGGAAGGATTTGGCCAGTGAAACACTTGACGTTCTCATATGAGAACAATTTTGATGGATGAGCATTTATTTAGTGCTATAATGTAGGCATGGGGAACACCAAGGAAAGGTACCTTACATGATGATATTGCAGTCATGCACGCATTGTGAAGGAGAGTTTTTGAAGGGATGAGAATTAGGCCAAGTTGAGGACGTACTTGTGGAGCTAAGTGGAGTGAAAGGCTTGGGGGAGGGAGATGAGCAGCTTCACACCCCTGTCCTGTGTGACCACTGTGTTAGCACACTGGGAGGTTGTCTAACTCCACTGAAAACATGAGCCCCAGGCGGCTACCTCCAGGCCTTTGTTTTAATACTGTGTGTAACCCTTTTGCATCTTTTCAGGGAAGAAACCAATAAGGTGTATTCAATTATGAAATCATCTTGATTAGAATAATTTAAATAGCTAGTCAAAATGTTAATAACATAAAGCATAAACAAACAATAATTTTTTCTTCTCTTCCTCTTTAAACTTAATGTTCATGGGGTCTCCATATCCATGTGACTTGTCCTACGGTTTGCCCTCTTCCTGACCACACGTGTGCATGAGCAGCTGACAGAAAAGGTAACTTGTACACATTTTGCTACATTGAAGATTCATGTATTTTTTGCCTGTAATTGTTATGTAAATAAAATGTTTCTAAATTCACGGGTGGGTAGCTGTCCCATAATGGGGAAGTAACTCTGTGTAACACACCTAATAAATCTGTGTGTGTGTATGTATACAAGGATACTTCAAAGTATTGGTGGAAAAATAGAATCAAAAGATAATACAAATCTTTCTGTGAACTTTTTGAAGGTCTCTCATATAGTCGGCCTTCCATATTCAAGGGTTCCACATCCAACCAACTGCAGACTGAAAATATCTGAAAAAAATTAAAATTAAAATTAATACAAATAAGAAAACAATACAGTATAGTAGCTATTTGCATAGCATTTACATTGTATTGGGTATTATAAGTAATTTAGTGATGATCTAAAGTATACGGGAGGATGTGCATAGGTTATGTGCAAATGCTGTATCATTTTATTTCAGGGACTTGAGCATCTGGGGATTTTGGTATCTGCAGAATTCCTGGAACCAATCCCCCACAGATACTGAGGGACAACTATATATATATAAATATGCATGTGTGTGTGTATATATACATGCATATATATGTGTATATAACACAAATGAGAAATAGCTTTTCTTGTTTCTCTTCTTCCCCCCCAGACTGAATAGGAGGCTATATCGCAAGTCACACTGTATTTTTGGCAACATCACTATTTCCAAAGTAGATTTAAAATAAATAATGGCTGAGTCTGATGAGGATCTATTCTTGTATAAATCTGAGTGGGAGGACTTCTGTAGTTTGAAAACATGCCACATGTGACTCCGATACACTGTCCCTTCCGCCCAACTAAGAAAGACCCATCAAAACCAGAGGTTCTCAACAGTGGTTACACATCAGAATCACCCGGGGAACTTTTGAAAACATACTGGACGGCCAGGCTCATCCCAGCCTGATTGAATCAGAATCTCCAAGGAGAGTTTGGGAGCTACTGGTCTAAAGAACCATAATGCCTCCCTACTTTTGGTTCACATTTTATGGTTTTCAAAGCTTTTTCTCTTAGTGACCTTATTTGATTTCCAGAACAACCCTCTGAGATACATGGAGGCAGGTAGTGTTATTATCCCATTCAGTGGATGAAGAAATTGATGACAAGAGATGATAAAGAACATGCCCAAGCTGGTATGGCTTGTGACATAAGGATATGGCTTGTAACATAAAGGATGGAACTTGAATTAGAACCAGTTTTTCCAACTCTTAGCTTAGTGAGCTTTGTACTACAATGCATTGCTGGCTAAAAGGGCTAAGGAAATAAGATACTAGAAAACATAGGTTGGGGGCCGGCCCGGTGGCGCACCGCTACAGTGCGCCGCTTGGGAAGCGCGGCGGCGCTCCTGCCGAGGGCTCAGATCCCACATACAGACCGGTTCCCGCTCACTGGCTGAGCGAGGTGCGGGCGCGGCACCGAGGGTTGCGATCCCGTTGCCGGTCCCGGTCCGGTACGGGTGCGACACTGAGGGTTGCGATCCGTTGCCGGACACGAAAAAAGACAAAAAGGAAAAAAAAAAAAAAAGAAAACATAGGTTGGAGGTTTTAACTTAATTTATTTGTATATGTAAATAATAAGTCAATAGGATAAAAAAATAAAAACAGACCAATTAATAGATGGTGTCTATAGGATGTAAGAAAACCATCTAGTATAGCTGTGGACATTAGAAGCAAACACATTTCATTGGCCAAGGACAGTCATTTCAGCTCCAGCTTCTGAGCAGAAGAACCATGAATGCTTTGTCCATTGTGCATATGAACAAAAGTCATATAATCTCACCTGTTACAGGGTCAGAAGTACCTATTGCTCTTACCTTGTTACACATGAATTTTCCTGCATAGATTGGAAATCCAGGTCATCACTAAAGATTTTTCCATTTTGACGTGTCTTCAGGAGGAAGAAATCGTTGACTGGTGGAGTAAATTTTATGCTTCCTCGGGGGAACATGAAAAATGTGGACAATATATTCAGAAAGGCTATTCCAAACTCAAGGTACCTGGACACATGCTGCTGTGGGTGGGGGAATCAACTTCCTTTAAAACTGGTCACAGACAGAACTAAGAAGACTAAAAGGTCCCGTGGTGGGTGCTGTTGGGGAGGGACCGGGAGGACATCTGGCCTCCCGGAGAGCCCTTTCCAAATGGGTTTTGGCTTTACCAAGATTCCAGGGGCTTGAGGACGGCTGTTGAATTATGGTTAGTGGCTGCCACTTTGGGGCTTGAGGGCATCTGGCAGGTGGTTGGGAATGGGTTGGCACCACACTAAGTAGGCCAACAATTGTCCAGTTTAACTCAGGGAGACCTGGAAACCCTGGTGCTCTTTGCAGAACAACATGAGATGTCAACATGCTTCATTCTGTCCTCTGAACAGGGATCAGATTTACTTGCTGAAATATGCAGCAAAAAATCACAACCACAGGCACATGTATTCAGGAAGAAGACAAGCTATTGAGCTAGGCAGGACGGGCTCTCTGTGATCTTTCTGTTGATGGTCTGAGTTTTCCAATTCTTGATTCAGTGGTTCAGCCTGTAATGCACTCCTGTAGAAACAAATACTTAAGTTTTCAGAACAATGTATAGGAGGAAAAAACTTTAAAATGAGAAATATCTAGTTATTAAAATAAATTTTCCCATCAAAAACTCACATCCTTCCATGTTATAGTCATAACATCTCAGGTCAGTTTAAGAACACCAGCATGTAAAAACCACTAATTTTAAAACTGATCAAACTGGGCTGATGGATCAGTCTCACAGTCTATTCTCTCTCCCTCTTTCCTTCCTTCCTTCTCTCCTCATCCTTCCTCTCTCCTCTTATAGTTTTTTATCAAGGTATACTTTACGTTTTATAAAATGATCCATTTATTAAGTTGTGTTAATTGTATACCTCTGTGTAAACCACCACCCAAGACAAGCCAAAGAACACCTCCATCACCACGGGAAGTTCCTTCAAGCCTCTTTCCAGTCAATTCCCCACAACCCTCAGCCCTCCCAGAAGCAACTGATCTGATTTCTGTCGTCATAGATTGGTTTTGCCTGTTGTTATACTCCATGTAAATGGACTCACACAGCACGTATTCCGTGTGTGTCTGGCTTCTTTAGCCACATATTATAAGTTGTGTGTATCAGTAGTTTATTCCTTTTTATTGCTGAGTAGTATTCCATTGTGTGGATATACTACAATTTGTTAATTCATTCTCCTGAGGATGAAGCTGCCGTGACCACTCTTATACCATGTGGACATGTCTTCCATTTCTCTTCAGTAGATGCCTAGGAATGAAATTTCTGGATCACAGAATAGGTGGATATTTAACACCATGAGAAACTGCCAGACACTTTCCAAAATAGTTGTATCACTCTACACTCCCACCAGCAATATGAGAGTTCCGGTTGCTCCATGCACATCCTCCTGCCCATTTGCTATGTCAGTCTTTTTGATTTTAGACTCCATTGGCATTTTAATGAGAAATTAAGAATCTGTTGATGGTTTTCAGATATATGATTGTGAACTAGAGGATGTAACAGAATTCGAGGGCCTGACAGACTTCTCAGATACTTTCAAATTGTACCGAGGCAAATCAGACGAGAATGAAGACCCTTCTGTGGTAGGAGAGTTCAAGGTGAGTAAAACGTGCGTGTTTGTCCTGTTAAAATCCACCTTTATTTTCTTTATAGACCTAGGATAGTGGACAATCAACCTCTGGGGCAGAGACATGTCCTCCGGCCTCTGAAGGATGCTAGAAGGTGCTGACAAGGAAAACTTCAGTGGGGAGAACCAGATGTTCAAAGCCATTCTCAGTATCTTTCTTTCTCCCTGTTCCTGTCAACCGGTCTTGAATCCTGTAGATTCAGCCTCTCCGAGCTCCAGTTCCTCCTCCCCATCCCGCTGCCCCTCCCAGACTTTCAGCAGCCTCATTGTGACAACTTCCCAACTCACTGTCCTTGCCACCTCTCTCCTCCCACCAGTCCATCTGACTGCTTAAAGACATTGCTTGGGTTTCTGCAGGATCAAGTCTCAACTCCTTCCAAAGGCAGAGCTGCCTTTCACAAGCTACGTGTCCCCCTGCCACCACTCCCTCTCACATCCCCTCCCTCCTGCCCAGGAGAAGCTCTCCCAAGCCCCAACCACACCTTGTCCTCTCACAACACAGAGCCTTGGGACAGGCTCTTCTTCCTTCCCTGGATGCCCTTCCTTCCTTCTTTGTGGTCAGACAAAGTCCTACTCATCCTTTAAATGCCAGCTCAAATGTCACACTCTTTGTCAAGTGCTCCCTGGCTGCTGCAGGCAGCGTGACTCACTCCGGCTCAGGCTCCCACAGGTCTGGGTTCACACCGCTATGAAAGCACCTTTCACATTGTAGGTATCTACTTTTATGATGGCCTCTCCCTCCAATCACACTTGGCAAAGCCATGGCAGATAGGTTGCTACTTCTTCATCCTTGGCCAATAGCCGACATTGCTGATGGACCAGAGGATTATATCCTACAAGGAATCTCAAATCCTCCTCATTACCACCTCCCACCAAGTAATCAAAGATGACATGAGAGTCAACCCTATTTAATATCCCCGTGCCAGACTGTATTCCATGAGTTCATTTTTGGATCCCCAATACTTGACACATAGTAGGTGCTTACTTCATGCTGCTTTACCGAATGAAGATAGCTAGAACTAAGACCCACGTCTTCTGAATCCAACTTCAGTGCTTCCCCCTGCACTTAAGCTGGCTCACTCATTCAAAAAACATTTCTGTGCCCCCACTATGCACCAGCCCCACGTGAGGCCCTGAAGATGGGGTGATAAATAAAACCTAAGCCTCCCCCACCCCCAGGAAGTTCACGGTCTAGGGAAGGCTGTAGACAATACATAGACCATCTCAACACAGAGGTCAGTGCCATGACGGGTGGGTGCTGGGTTAGAGGAGGGCATGCGGGAGACACACCCAACCCAGGGTAGTCAGGGAAGGCTGTAGACAATACATAGACCATCTCAACACAGAGGTCAGTGCCATGACGGGTGGGTGCAGGGTTAGAGGAGGGCATGCGGGAGACACACCCAACCCAGGGTAGTCAGGAAGGTTTCCTGGATGAAGTGACACCTGTCAGCTGAGACCTGAAGGATGAACAGGAGTTTGCCTGGGAGTGGGAGGGGGTGATGCTGAAAAAGGAAGTCATCCCTAGTACTTCTTCAGGTTTAATAAATAGTCGTGTTTATTCCTATCTTCGTGGTAAGTGCAGGATTTTCTCCTCACCATGCCACACTGGCCCAAACCACCTCCACCGCTTGCCCAGGTTATCACTTCTGGTTTCCCTGCCTCTGCCCTGCCCTCCCTGCTGCCCGGGATCTCTCAAATATTTACTTTATGGTCATTTCATTCTCCCTACAGGAAATAGGCAGAGTACAATGTATGTTGTGTCTTTCACAAAAGGCAGCCCTCCGTCACCCAACCCCACAGCCCCTGTGGCTGTCCCCAAGTGTCCCGGGAAAGGAGGGCGCTGCCCAGGTCACCCTGGGCCCTGTGAGTCCATCTGTGTGTCTCTCTCCTAGGGCTCCTTTCGGATCTACCCCCTGTCAGATGACCCCAGTGTGCCGGCCCCTCCCAGGCAGTTTCGGGAATTACCTGACAGCGTCCCGCAGGAATGCACGGTTAGGATTTACATTGTTCGAGGCTTAGAGCTCCAGCCCCAGGACAACAATGGCCTGGTAAGAGTTTGGGTGTGGGGCCTTCTCCTGTAGCAAGATAATTACAGTCATCAGCCACAATAATTGTCATGTTCTTTCTTTCTGGGCGTCTGTTATCTCACTAAGGGAAAGATACTCTATCACAACAGTGTAATCAGGAGGATTGTCCGGATGGGGATTTATCTAAGAGTTTGCAGGGGCTTAAGGTCCTCTGGTTCATCCTTCTCATTTTACAGATGTGACCCGGGGCGAGATTTGCTCAGGTCACACGGCAGGCAGGAGCAGAGCCAGGACTCCCCCGACTACCACCACGTCACCCACTCTACTTCTCTAGAGGCAGGCTGCCTGCGTGCCACCAAAGGGGGAGTGCTGCTCAGACCTCACCAGGCACACGCGTGCCATGGCAGCCACCTCGTCATAAGTTGGGAGTGGGTATGGAGGCGACCTGAATGTGTCCCAGAAATGACTTCAATTTGTACCCTGTGATGACATAACGTCTGCTCTGTTTTGTCCCCACAGTGTGACCCTTACATAAAAATAACACTGGGCAAAAAAGTCATTGAAGACCGAGACCACTACATTCCCAACACTCTCAACCCAGTTTTTGGCAGGTAACAGATACTTTTTAATGTTTTTCTCTTGTCCAGTTCTTCAGGAAATATGTATTAAGGATGTAATGTGTGCCCAATCCTACACCCCAAAACTGTGATCATGAACTAGACAACTATTCTAGTCAGGGGAGCAGGTAATAAACAGATAAATGCACAAATAAAATAATTTCATAGAAGTAAAAAGTGCCGTAAAGTAAGTAAGTCATGAGATGGGCTTCTCTGAGGAGAGAATTGTTCTGAGACCTTGGGGGTAGAGGGACAGAGGTGGGACAAGACCCAGGAGTCTGATGAGCTTGTGGGCTCCACACAAAGAGGATAAGAAGAGTGACCTAGCTGTCACTCAACGGTGAAATGTTCTTCTCACTTCTGGAATCCAGTTTGGGCTCTGTTTTCAGGGACCTTTGGATTCCACCATTTTGATCCAGTGAATGTGTTACTGACTCTCTTATCAAAACTGAGGAGGGGGCAGGAAGTGATAGGGTCAGAATGTCCTGCTCCATCTGTCTTCTGCTCCCAAAGATTTTTGAAATGGCATTATTTTCCTCATTGTTACAACTTTGAACTTATTTCTGGACTATTATATTGCATTCATCAAAACCATCTCAAATGACCAAATCCACGTGATCTCTAAATAGGATTGGCACTTTTCAGCTATGAGCTGCTTTCACATTTAATAAGAGCTCGTTTTTGCTGAGCATTTACTGCGTGCAGGCACTATGCTGAGCCATTTCTATAAAATATCTCAAAAACCTCACAACTCTGAGGTGCTATTATTGTCCCCATTTTACAAGAGAGGAAACTGAGGCACAGGGCGACTCACTGCCTAATGTACCCAGCTGTTAAAAGACAGAGTCAGGATTGGACCCTAGGCCATCTGACTTCAGTGTCCGCGTGGCTTCAACACTGTACTCTTGGCTGCTGCCTTGTCTGATTTTCATCTCCTCAAACTTCCGAGCTGAGCAGGCAGGGATCAGCAGCCCCGCTTCACAGGCGAGGAGATTGGGGCTCCCAGGGCTCCCTCGACGGAGCTGGAAAGTGATGGAACCGAGATTTAGGTGGAAATTCCAGACTCCAAGCCCCTTGGTAATGCTTCGTCTTCGTGGTAAAGCCATCACCTGTAGAAAAGCGTTCATTGTACAAAGCATTTGTGAAAACGTGTCATTTTCCTAAAACCCTGCTGAGTGGGAGAACAGTGTGCTTGTTTGCCATGTGGCCTGCATTTTAATTCCCGGCTTTATCATCTCGACCATGTGCTTCTTTTCTTCTCATGTTTGCTGGTTTGTGCCCTTGTACGCTCCTTCTGCCTCACACACCCGCATGCCGGCACACACACCCACACACCTGCACGCACACATGCACACCCACATGCCTGCACACACACACACACACACAATACCCGCACGCACACACACCTGCACCCACATGCGTATCCCCGCACTCCCCCAACATGCACACACACCCACACCCCTGCACACACACACGCACCCCCGCACACACACACACACACCTGCACCCACACCCGCACCCCCACACACACACGCACACACACACCCGCACACACGCACACCCTCTGTGCCGCGCGCCCCGGGCCATGTGCCGGGACCAGGCACTGGAAGCAATCCTCTGGCTCCCCAACATGATCATTTTCCTTTTCTTCTGCTGATCCAGCCCTGAGGTCTAGACAGGAAAAGGCACGTGGGGCAGGAAGGAGGGAGCCGGGAAGCAGGGAAAGCCAGCTTTGAGGCGAGAAAGGCGGCCCTGTCTGCATCGCTCGTCTCCGAGGAGCCAAGCATGAGCTTGATGAGGTGGCAGGAAAACCTTGCTTGCAGCCACCTCGGGAGGAAATGATGCTGTCAGGCTCTGCTCAGCCAGTGGCTGTCTGGCGGGTGGCAGACGTCCCCCATCCAGCAGGGTGGAGCTAGGGAAACGCCAGCTCTGCCACCCCTCAGATGGCTCCAGCCCATGGCTTCAGTCTCAGGGGGTTGCTTTGTTCCCAGCAGAAACTCTTTGGGGACTCTGGGACGGGAATTCAGGAAGGGGCAACCTTTCCTAGGTGCTCAGCCATGCTTCAGCATATTCTTGTTACATCATGGCATTCTCCAGATCACATGCAAAAGAATATCAGTGTCTTCCAGAAGATATTAATTGATGTTCCAAGGTTGAAAAAAATATTCCTTAGTCAAACCAAGACACCTGAGTTAAAAATGATAATTGCAGGACTTCTCAGAATCATTAGTTTGTCCAGAGGAACTCCAAAAGAAGTGATTCTCAAACTTGTTTGACCAAAGAATTCTTTTCTCAAGGGACACATATGAGTATTCCCTGTCCCTTGGGTTCCAGTACTAGAAGTGCGATGTATGCATTACATGTGGTACGGAGCACATGTGTGATCATGATTCAGGCACCTTTTCTCATGTGACTGCCTGCCTTCTGCAGGCCTCTGCTGCAGTCTGGAGAAGTTGCTCTAGGATTTGTCAGGGAGACATCCTGGAAGCTTTTCTCCAGAGCCCCATTGACACTCAAACGAATTAGCATTCTTGGCTCCCTGGGCAGGAACCAGTCCACACACCAGCGTGCCATGAGAAGGGGAGGAGGCACTGGGAGACAGGAGGCCTGTCACAGTTTTTCCTTCAACAAAATTTATTGAGCACGTACTGTAGAACCAGTGCCTCTGTGGACAGTGTAAATACAGAACCAAACCCCCACCCATCAGAGCTTATGTTGTACAGTTTTGTACCCTCTGGACCACATTGCTCACCTCCCTGCAAAAGTACTGTTTGATCATTTGTCTTTATCTCAGAAGTGTTTGCATTCTAATGTGGATTCTGTGGAAAAGCCTTAAAGAGCCAAAGCCAGTGGCAGACTCAGAGGGCCTGGATGGGGCGGGGTCCCCCTGCTAAGCACCCTGCACATCACACCATGTTGGTGAATTCCACTCACATCCCTCCCCTGTGCTCTTGTGGGGTGAATCAAACCTGTTCCATGGGGTAGTGGTCTCTGAGGCAAAGGAAGGAACATCATGGGGGCACATATGGGGGCTGTAATCCAGGTGTTTGTGTCTTTCTAACCTGCCAGCTGGGTAGAGACGCTTAGTAGGGTGACCCAGTTAATAGGCATGTGATGATAATAAAATTAATAATATTATACATTACTATTATTATCATATTGGGGTTTGATCAATACACTTAGGTCAAATGCTTTCTAAACATTTCTCTACTTGACCCTAGACACTATAACACTAGATGGTAGGTATTACTATCACCATTTTACAGATGAGAACACTGAGCACAGGTTAAGTAACTGGCCTAGAGTTCCACAGCTGGTAAGCAAGAGAGCTGGGATTTGAATCTAGGCATTTAAAGTCCATGCTCTTCTCCAGAGCAAGTATGCATTCTCTTATTGTTCTTATTACCAGTACGTACCATTTATCGAGTACTCCCACCCACTACCACCCTCCCTGGTTATCCTAGTCAGATGTTCTCCCCCAAAAGCCATAGGTAGGCACCACCTGGAAATTCTTTACAGGGAGCCCTGGGTTTGCGAGTCACCTGGACGGATTATGGAGATTCTAACTGTGCATTTATTTATCTAGAATGTACGAACTGTGTTGCTACTTACCTCAAGAAAAAGACCTGAAAATTTCTGTCTACGATTATGACACTTTTACGCGTGATGAAAAAGTGGGAGAAACAATTATTGATTTGGAAAACCGATTCCTTTCCCGGTTTGGGTCCCACTGCGGCATACCTGAGCAGTACTGTGTGTAAGTTGCTTTGGCCATAAGTGTGGGCAGTTTGCTGCATCTGACGTGAGTACTTAAGGAAGCTACCCGATGCCTTTCCTCACTGAGCCACTGCTTCTTTCAGTCAGTTAAGTCCCATTTTTAATAATAGGATTATCTTAGGCAGAATCAGGGCCACCGCACTGCTGCTTTGGCCATAAGTGTGGGCAGTTTGCTGCATCTGACGTGAGTACTTAAGGAAGCTACCCGGTGCCTTTCCTCACTGAGCCACTGCTTCTTTCAGTCAGTTAAGTCCCATTTTTAATAATAGGATTATCTTAGGAAGAATCAGGGCCACCGCACTGCCGAATTCACATTGTGGTCTGTGTAAAACGGGGGCCACTGGAGCAGTGCAGTGCCCTGTGGGGATGGCACAGCTGGCAGCGCTTGGAGAACCAGTCTCCTCTCTCCCCCTCTTTGAGCCCCACTTCTGGATGTCAGGAACTGAGGGGCTGCAATGTTTGTCGGCAAGAATTTCCTGGCCACCCCCTTAGTTGATCAATTCTGTGATGTCCCACGTCCCCTGATTGCTATACAGTGTCTTCCTACAGTATCTAATGAGATACAGCTTTCAATTTTTAGTTTACAAGCTTGCCTGTTATGACTATGGTGATCTCAGTCAAACTCCCATTTTTATAGAGGAGAAAACTGAAGGCAAACAATCAATCAAATCCATTGGCTGAGGCCAAAATAACGTGGATTTTAGGCAAAAGTCAAAGTGTAGAGCACATTCCCTGCTCCCATTATATGGGAGCGTCTGAAAGTGCATGAGTGTGTGTGTGGATCCATGAAAAACCCGTGGGCCCTGCAGTAACTCCAGGGCATGTGATGTTATTCACAGTTCTGGAATAAATACCTGGCGAGATCAATTGAGACCAACACAGTTGCTTCAAAATGTAGCCAGATTCAAAGGCTTCCCACCACCCATCCTTTCCGAAGATGGAAGTAGAATCAGATATGGAGGACGAGACTACAGTTTGGATGAATTTGGTGAGCACATGGCTGTGGATTGTAAGCTGGTACAAAGTATAATAACCCATTTATGTTGCCGGGTTTTGGGGAACAGGGTGCACAGAGTCACCTTAATTATACCTTATGAGACTCTGCACACATGACTCTATCTAACAGAAGCCACGTTATAGTAGAGCTTTGCTGTCTCGTCAAGTGTCAAAGTAGCTTATGTTTCACTTTGCCCTTTTTAGGTCATAGCCGTTAAGCTTTGAACACAAATTCCTAGTAATTAACTAATTTCCGTGTAATGCATAATTAGCTCAAAAATGCTCAGATGATAGTGCAAGAATTTCTCTTCCAAATTTATCCCATCATTTATTTAAGCCCTTTACTGAGAAGCCTCAGGGATGCTGGGGGTTGGTTCAAAGAGCCTGCTAAGTTCCCATCTGGTTCATGTCGAAGCTGGGGGTCTTGTTCTTTCCTAAGAAATAACTTATAATACAAGCCATCCTGACACATCAACCTAGCCACACTGTGACAAAGACTGAAACAAGCTTCAGAGTATGAGAGCTGTGGTATGTTCTGCATTTTGTAGGGGGAGGTGATGGGGCTGACCTTGAAGGGAGCATGGGATATCCAGGGAGAGATAAGCAGAGACACACAGCAGTGAAAGTTCTTCCTGATCCTAACTTGACTCTTGACATTGTAAGAAACTGTGTTTTATCTTTCCATTTTAAAGAGGACTTAGTCAAAATAAGGGATGATTAGATATTTAAGAAATGTTGATGCTGCTGTTAACATGTGAACTTGCAAAAGTGATTGGGGGGCCGGCCCGGTGGCGCACTGCTACAGTGCGCCGCTTGGGAGCACGGTGGCGCTCCCGCCGAGGGTTCGGATCCCACATACAAACCGGTTCCCGCTCACTGGCTGAGCGAGGTGTGGGAGCAACACCGAGGGTTGCGATCCCGTTGCCGGTCCCGGTCCGGTACGGGCACGACACTGAGGGTTGCGATCCATTGCCGGACACGAAAAAAGACAAAAAGGAAAAAAAAAAAAGTGATTGGGAATAAACTGGGAAGCAACATGGTCTAGTGGACTGAGGGTTGCGATCCATTGCCGGACACGAAAAAAGACAAAAAGGAAAAAAAAAAAGTGATTGGGAATAAACTGGGAAGCAACATGGTCTAGTGATTAAGGGCACCCTCAAATAATCAAACAATACCCCCGGAAAAGCTGCATCAATTATGGGGATTATCCGAGTAACTATTGTTGCATAATAAGTCACCCCAAAACTTAGCAACTGGAAACAACCATGTTGTTTTGCTCACAGTTTTGTGGGTCAGGAATTCAGGAAGGACTTAGCCGAGCAGTTCTGGCTTGAGGTCTTTCATGTAGTAGCAGTTCAATGACAGCTGGGGCTGCTGTCATCTGCAGCTTGGCTGGGGTTGACGACCAGAGCACCTGCACAGGCCTGTTTGGCAGGGCAGTCTCTGGGCACCTCAGACTCCTTACAAGACAGATGGCTTCCCCCAGAGTGAGTGTCCCCAGGGAACCAGGCAGGAGCTGCGTGGCTTTTTATGCCTAGCCTCAGAAGTCACACAGCCTCCTTTCTTGACATGTTAGTGTTTGAATGTCTCCAGATTCAAAGGGAAAGGACACAGATCCCACCTCACTATGGGAGAAGTGCTAGAGAATTTGGGGGCCATGTTTTTAGAATGCCACACTGATTTTAGCTTCTGTTCCAATTGAACTTCCAAATTTCACTGACCTAACTCAATTGAAGTTTATTTCTCATTAATTCAAAGTAGTTATTCCTCCATGTGGGTGGTTGTCTTCCAAGCACTTCTTCATGGACTCAGGGTCTTCCATCTTCATCTCACGTGTCTAAGGTTGCTGTTCTCTGCTGCATCCAGAAGAGAAAGGTGCATCGAGGATCCTACATGGGAGGGATTTATGGATAGATCCAGAGGTGTTATATTCTAGCTGAACTTGGTCGTGTGGCCACATCTAACTGCAAGGGAGGCTGGGTAACAGAGGCTAGCTGTGAGCCTTTGCCATGAAAGTAAACACAGACTGCTCCCACTTACCCGTTCTGGTGTGCTCTGGTCCCTTTGCTACTGGCAGTTCACAGGTTGAGTATGAGTCTGGTGGGGCAGAGCCCCTGGTCAGGAGCTATTTCTATCAACTATTCTTTCACAAGTCAGTGTACACATTGTCACTGCCTGTCCACTCTTGCAAAGTCTGGGGTGAACAGCTGCAAGCAGCTTAGGGCAGTCTGGCTGAACTCTTCCTGAAGGCCCATCCCTGTTTCAATGCTGCTTTCCATTCCAGAAGCCAACAAAATCCTGCACCAGCACCTTGGGGCCCTTGAAGAGCGTCTTGCCCTTCACATCCTCAGGACTCAGGGCCTGGTCCCTGAGCATGTAGAAACGAGGACTTTGCACAGCACCTTCCAGCCCAACATCTCCCAGGTAAAGGGGCTCCCCTCCTTTGAGACCCATCAGCCATACCCCAAATTCAGTGGCAATAGCTGACACAGATTTGCCTCTTTTATCTTGTTTGAATACTTTTAGATACGCAAGAAACTAAAATTAGTTTCATCCCAAAGGGTATTTATTGTGAGAATTTTTAGGAAACTCACTAACTCCAGACAGGAGATTGGTTATGACTCAGAACAAACTTGAACCAGTGTGTCTTCTGTCTCTTATCTCTGTTTCTCTCTATGAGTCTATTTCATCTGCTCTCTTGCTGTGATCACCTTCCTATAAGTCTGAATATCATGGACAGTTCCTGTGTATTTTTGTGTTATAATGTAGACCCATCTACTTCCAGACCTATAGGGGTTTGTTAACCCAACTTGGCTCAGTTGCCTACTCCCAGGTCACTCAGCTGTAGCTAGGAGGGCAGAGTATGGGAAAGTGACTGGGTGTGGCCCAGCTTGGGGAAGAGGTGTCATCTGAGACTGAAGAGCCAGGGAAGCGGGGCCACAATACACAAGATGGCAGGTCACAGGGACCATATGGATTGTGATGGGGAGGGTCAGTTGCTAAAGGACAGGGAGCAGTTTCCAGAGAAGCAAAGTGAGACATGGCCAGTGACAAAATAATCCACGTGGAAGCTTGTCATAGTGAAGATTTTCAGGCTGTGTCTGCAGAGATTTGGATCCAATAGGTCTGGGGTGGGGAAGGAATCTGAATTTTAATAAGTTCCTAGAGGGGTTCTGATAAAGGTGGCTAGGAGATCACAATTTAGGAAATATTAATCTAATGGATGCAAATATTTCTGACACAGCAAAACTATGGGCAATCTTATTGCTAAAGAGTGCCAGAAGTGGCCTGGGATTTCTAGATTATTCTGTCAGTCATTTCTTGCTTTTTATTCTGTTCCACATTTCCATTTCTTCCTTTTCTTTTTCTTCTTCCTTCCACCAAAGAACCTTTTTCTCCTTTCCCTCCCCTTCCTGTGAGCCTCTCACTGGGTGGTGGGAACTAGCGAGCCAATGGCAGGGAATCCTCACCTTTTGGGAACAGTTATGTCATTGTTTGAATCCTTCCTTTGAATGTGCCATGTTGTAAGTTTTTCTTTTACAAAGTTAAATACCATTTTCATTGCTTTAATTTTGTATCTTGAGGTAAGTGGAAAAACTTTTAAGTGTCACAAAAATGGGACTGATATCAAGTAGGCAATGTGATGACGAATGGAATGGCAGCTTGGAAACTGGTAGAGGGTGAAGGACTCAAATTTAAGCCCTTGTAAGAGAATGTGGAACTAGCGAGCCAATGGCAGGGAATCCTCACCTTTTGGGAACAGTTATGTCATTGTTTGAGTCCTTCCTTTAAATGTGCCATGTTGTAAGTTTTTCTTTTACAAAGTTAAGTACCATTTTCATTGCTTTAATTTTGTATCTTGAGGTAAATGGAAAAACTTTTAAGTGTCACAAAAATGGGACTGATATCAAGTAGGCAATGTGATGACGAATGGAATGACAGCTTGGAAACTGGTAGAGGGTGAAGGACTCAAATTTAAGCCCTTGTAAGAGAATGTGTGTGTGTGACTTAGACCATGATACAGGTGGGCACATACAGTAGTCAGAGACCCCTGGGTGAGTATGGGAAGTGGGTGGCCTAAATGAGATTGCAGATATAAGATTAATTTTGGTTTGCTCTTCTACTCCATGTATGGCCTTCTGTATGGACTAATAAATCCGCAGGCCCAAAGAAATAGTTTTGCCTAAGAATTATGAGCAAAAATTGTGATTTCGAGCACCCATAATATCTTCAGCCCTTTTTTTCATTTTTGGATGGTTTAGGGAAAACTTCAGATGTGGGTGGATGTTTTCCCCAAGAGTTTGGGGCCACCAGGACCTCCTTTCAACATCACACCTCGGAAAGCCAAGAAGTAAGTAACTTGAGACCGTTGCTATACTGGAGCAGGGGCTGGGTCAGGACCAGAAGAAAAACTATGTTCAAATGTGCTGCTTTCAGATACTACCTGCGTGTGATCATCTGGAACACCAAGGACGTTATCCTGGATGAGAAAAGCATCACAGGAGAGGAAATGAGCGACATCTACGTCAAAGGGTGAGGTTAGCACGCAGGAGCCTTTGGCAGGCTCAGGGAGTGAAGCAGACTCCCGCCTTCACTAGGTGTCATTACTGAAGGTGCCCACTATAGGATCCTTGGTTAGTTGGAGCTGTTTTATCTCATTAATGCAATCTGCTTAGGGAGCTCCTGGAAAACAAAGGGGGAGAGAACAGAAAGAAAAGAGAAACCTGTACGGACCTTGTTTATGTTTATGAGCAGAGGTGTCTAATGATTGTAAGAATTGATCAATATTTCTTTGTTTTTCGTAACGAAACAGATTTTCTTCCATTTATTGAGCAGATTTGTTATTTCTGAGACTTTTTAGCCGTGTCATTTCTTCGTATTCATCTCTGATATCTTGTATAACTAGCCAGAGAAACACAAGTAGACTGGCTGGTTGGCTCAGTTGGTTAGAGCACAGCCTTCAAATCCAAGGTCAAGAGTTCAGATCCACATACCGGCCAGCCAACAACAACAAAAAAGAAAGAAACACAAGTAAAGCTTCCAAAATTTCTTTTTCTATGTATTTTATTACCAGCAGCTAATGTCTATGGAAAAGCAGAAATATTAGCAGATTCCACAACAGTCATTCATTTCACCAACATTCATTGAGTGTCTGCATCCAACATGTAATGTGTCATGGTTGGTCATTATTCTCTTACCTGCATAATTTAGTTTCAAATAATTCACGTTGATCCTAGTGTCTTGTTAAGCTTTGATCATAGATATTGAGTGCAGTATAGCATAGTGATTGAAAAGCCAGACTCTGGAGTCAAACTACCTGGTTTGAAATCTTGGTACTTCCCCTACTAGGCAAGATAGTAAGCTTACTGTTTCTCATCTGTAAAGTGGAGATAATGATAGTACCTACTTCCTAGGGATATTTAGAAGATGCAATTATTCAAAACATTTAGGATAGTGCCTGGCAGATAATACACACTGTGTGATTGTTAGCTACTATTATTACTGTTCCACATGGACTGAGTTTGCTTCGTTGATATTAAAAGAGGAGGCTTTTGAAATTTAGTTGAAATTTAATATATGCATAAAGTGAGAACAGAGTTACATTTATGATCCCAAATGGTCTACAATCAAAACTTTGTTAAAGACATGATTACCATCATTTAAGTTCACTGTAAACAAGGAATGTTTCATCAAGTTCTTCATTATTCTTTCTCATTTCAGGATCTCATTATCATTCCCCAAGGAAAACTAATCCCAGCTAATTATATATATGCAAATTTATTTGACTATCATAAGCATTATTTTTTTTCAAATTAGGGAAACAAACTCAAGTAATACTGGACTGAGAGAAAGCTCTTCTAATAAGAAAATAAAGTTCAATTTAAGATACCATGTAAAATTTGGAATTAAAAATCTAAGTTCTAAATGTGGGAAGATGAATAATGCATAAATACCATGCCTAGCACTACATACATATGGGTGTTCCATACAAAGCTACACATACATGTATACAAACACATATACCTACAGTAGTTTTTAAACATGTCTTAAAATTAAAATGTGAAAAGATTCACAAAAAAAGAGGAACTGCTGCAGGGAGTGATGGTCTGGGGCAGGATGATGTTAACACTTAGGAATGGATCAGGATGTGAAGCCACCAAGGTCATAGCTGAGAGAATGTGAACTCTTCAGTGAGTTAGTTTAAAAGTTAGTAGCCAAAAGGAATCTTTCAACAAATCTATCTAGTCAGTTAATTTGCTAGCAAAAAAGAAAACTTCTATAGTTGATTGATATCAATACCATTGCTCATAATAGGACTTAATATTAGCAAGTGATTTTATAGTTTACATGGTCCTTTGAGGCAGAGTAACAGGTATGGACTTTGGAGTCATACTAACCTGGGAGTAATAATTCTGTCAGTTACTGGCTGTGTGACCTTATGTAAATAAATATATCTTTGCTGAACCTCACTTTCCTCATCTGTAAAATGGAGATAGTCAAACAGTTGATGGGAAGAATAAAATAATGCATGCTAAGTACCTGGTTCATAGGTGATAATCATAGACATGAATTAAGGATTTCCCCCTTCCCCCTCTGCCCCTTCTAAGCCATGATCTCTCATTCTGTCCTCATATTGACCATGTGAAGGGAGTACACACCATTAATTTCATTTTACAGGTGGGAGATGAGGCTCAGAGAGTTTCAGAGCCAGGCCTTTCTCCTACCAAGAATCTCTATCTGTGGGGTCCAGGTACTGATATCTTAAAAATCTCCCCCGTTGATTCTAATGTGTTGCTGATAATGCAGTGTTCAGAACTATGCATTCTACAACTTGCCAATCTAAACTTAAATGTTACAACCTGGTTCCAAACCAGGAGCCTTTCCAGTAGCAGGAAGATGTGATGACAGCTTCCTTCCAGGCACATTCATTCATTCATTCATTTAACAGGTATCTATTTTGTGTCTGCTACATGCCAGGCACAAGCAAAAGGAAACTTTTTCAAATATTAAAAGTTAAGATATTTAGTCGTTACTGCATGAATTCTCATACATATGTGCATGGAAATACAGCTTAAATCTTCCTTGCCAATCTCATCAATATAATCACAGTGAATTTAAGAATAGTTTTTTAAGGGCCGGCCCGGTGGCGCACTGCTACAGTGCGTCGCTTGGGAAGCGCGGCGGCACTCCTGCCGAGGGTTCGGATCCCACATACAGACCGGCCGCTCACTGGCTGAGCGAGGTGCGGGAGCAACACCGAGGGTTGCGATCCCGTTGCCAATCCCGGTCCAGTACGGGCGTGACACTGAGGGTTGTGATCCGTTGCTGGACACGAAAAAAGACAAAAAAAAAAAAGAATAGTTTTTTAAAAAGGGCTGGCCAGATAGCTCAGTTGGTTAGAGCTTGGTGTTAATAACACGAAAGGTTCAGGATTCGATCCCCGTACTGGCCAGCTGTCAAACAAAACAAAACAAACAAAACAAAGAAGCTATAAGATCACTTGATTCATGCCTTTTTTGTTTGCGTAAGTAAATATGGGAAAGGAAATGCTACAATTTTGAGCTAACTCATATTCATTGAGCCCATCAGCAGTGATGACAGACGCTGATCAGTTGTAGTTATGAAGACTAAAATCATAGCCAGCAAGCTTCAACGTACCCAAAATAGAAGCTACGTTGTTGATATTTTCCAGAAAATTTCACCTTAGCCCTGTTAACTGAAGTCTTCAGGGTTTCCTGCTTTGGTTTTAAAGGAATTGTATTTTGTTTGGCTACAACCTGTGTTGGATGCAATCGAGTGCCTCCCCTTCATAAATCACCCCCAGCTGCATACATAACTGGAACCTGCCCAAGAAAAGTGCATTAATTCTCCTGCTCTTCACTCCCCTAATCACTGTACAATTTTGCGGCTAGATTACTTGTCAGTCATATGAAGCTAAGTCTGTTTGCTTCTGCTTTTCAGCTGGATTCCTGGCAATGAAGAAAACAAACAGAAAACAGATGTCCATTACAGATCCTTGGATGGCGAAGGGAATTTTAACTGGAGATTTGTTTTCCCGTTTGACTACCTCCCAGCTGAACAACTCTGCATTGTTGCTAAAAAAGTGAGTCCTGAAATATGCCAGTGGGAAGTGGATGTCACAGGTCTCCCTTAACTCAGAAATGCGTAGAGCGTCGGAGCTGCTCAGGTCACCAAGTCCAGCTCCCTCTTGGTAAAGATGGGGAAGCTGAGATCCACAGAGGTGTAGACACTTGCCCACGTCACACAGCCAAGACATGTATTTGTGTAATTAGGAAGAATAAAGAAAACAACTTTCTTTCCTCTAACATATGGGCAGAAGGGTGAAGGATAAATGCTAGAAGTAAGGTCTTGTATCAATGTATACAACAACCCAAGGGTGTTTTTCAGGTTATGGGGAGACTAATTTCTTTCCATAATAGGCACAACCAAACAGAAGCAAAATGTTAATGTGGGTGAAATGTCCCTTCTACCTTCCTTATTAAACATGAACATCTGCTTTACCTCCTTCAGAAGCACTTCCATGAGGGGTCAGGGCCCTCAAGGTCTAAATTAGTAAGACTTTGAGTTACGGAACTCAACTCACATTGGCTTATCCCAAAAAAGTGATTTATTGGTTCAAATTACTAAAAAGCCCGGGTTGGCTGGCTTTAGGAACATCTGGATGCCACACTGATGAGCTGTCTTTAGAAACCGGTCTCATTCTCTCTGCCTCTCTGCTCTGCCTTCCTCTGTGGGCCTCACTTCCAGGCGGGCCCTTCTGTGGCAGAGGCAAGGTGGCTGCCCGCTGCCCCAGCTGTCCCTACTCTGTCCTCTCAGCAAACCTCAGCAGAAAGAGAATTCTGATTGCACCCATCAGAGTTCTGGAATTGGGCTCAGTGTCCCCACCTCTTTGGGGTCATGTGCCCATCCCTGAAGCCACCATTGTAGCCCAGAGATGCAGCGCTCTGATTGGCCAGGCTCTGAAGTTAGGGATGGAGTCAGCTCCTCCCAAACTGCATGGACTGGGGAAGGGGGAGTCCCCCAAGGGAAGTCTGGGCGCTTTCATCCAAAAAAGGGGCCTAGAATCTGGGTAGACAATAATAACTGATGTCTCATATAGGTGCCTGGTGCCCCTCCTACCTCCCACATTCTATCCACTTTCCCTCACTCTGCCTGGTCACCTCTTCTCTCTATGCTCCATCAAAGTGTACCTGCCCTGTGTCCCATCGGGCCAGGCCCCACCCTCTGCTGGTCCTACTCAGTGCTGATGCTGTAGTGAGCACTTTTTCCAGACCAGGTGGATTGAATGCCTTCAAAGGGAACTTTCTGGAGGCACAGAGGCTCAACGCGATATCAAATATGCACACTTTCAGATGGTGAGACAGAACAGGGGAGGGGTAAGGGGAAGGATGGGGAGTCAGGTAGGCCTTTAGTTAAAGTTGCCTTTCCTGTTTACCCACATCTAGGGCTAGACCTCCCTGTGCTCTGAGTGGTCCTTGGAGCATGACCCCACACAGGACAGTCAGGAAGGGACAGACAAAAGCAGAGTGGGCTTCCCAGCCCCTCAGAGAAGGCCCTCTGAGCCCTGGAAACGAGAACATTTCTGCAACATGAAAAACAAGAAACAACTCAACAATTTTCCTTCAAATCCATAAAGCACTGGGGAAATTCCCTTTTTTGCTGGGGCCAGAGGAACTTAGGTGTAACTAGGTTGTGGAGGGGTTATTATTCTTAGCTAATATTGTCTGGGCAGAGGCAGAGACCAGAGGTGAGAACTTGGAGGTTCCTTACATAGTTCTCCCTCCACCTACTTCTAATGTGGGGATTTGAGGGTCTTAGGTGATTACAAGCGGGTAAAAGCCAGTGGTATTTTTCAAAAGCCAAAAATGCCAGGGCTTTTAAAATCTGTACTGATGAAAGAGTGGAATCTGGATTCCAGGATCTTCACCCAAAAGTAAAATGAGAGTACACTCGGACATCTGTGTCGGGGGGTGGAAGGTTGCTGAGCAGAGGTGACACCCCAGTGGGTGATATTTTGGGCTGGCCTAGAATGTCTGGCTTTAGGAGGATAATCTAAGCAGGCCATAGTGGTCTTCAGGGGGGAGATCAATCCCTCCCCAACCCCCAGGGGTGGCAGTAGGAAGTCACACTGATAAGAACATGGCAGAAAACCTTCTGTTTGGGAACTGCCTGGGACATCCTTTTTGTCACCCAGCTGGTGGCCTTGAGATTTCCTGGGGAACCTGACTGCCCTTCATACAGGGGGTGGAAAGGTTAGAAAGGGCCTGATGCTTTGATGCTATTTCAAGAAGCCAAAGGTGAGGGCTTCAGAGTGCAGAAGTCTGGATTATTTGATTTGTCCATGTCTCTTGTCATTTAAGGAGCATTTCTGGAGTATTGACCAAACGGAATTTCGAGTCCCACCCAGGCTGATCATTCAGATATGGGACAATGACAAGTTTTCTCTGGATGACTACTTGGGTAAGGCTTACATTTGGATAATTTTCCCTAAGAAACTGTACTTGAAATTAGTGAAGTCAATTAAGGAATTGATTTGGAAGTACTTATTTAAATCTCCAATACTTGTCAATAACCTAGGGGGGGAAACCCCTTGCCTGGATGTCCTCCTGGCAGTGTGGCTTGACAGTTTAATGTCCCCCCTTTCCACAGGCCCATCCACTCTCAAGGGCTCTCATGGAGGATCTTGCACCAGCTCCTGCCTCTTTATGAAGCCCCAGACCCAAGGGGATCGCACTCCCACCTCCACTTCCAAATCACCCACTCTCTCGCCTCAGCCCTCAGAGTCACTCCTCTCCTGCGTGCTGCTCTCAAACGTCACCAGGTCACTTAATATCCCCCAGCCATTGCTGGATGGATCCCCTAGGACCATGCTGTGTGGCTAAAGGCACCCCCCAGTCCCCCCTCTCTTGGCACACGCCTCCCTCGCCCCGATGCTGCTGAGCTCCCCGGGTTTCCGCTCTCCCAGGCCTTGGCCTGCCTCACTGACCGGCTCTGTTTCTTCCTCCCACTGTCTAAAACAGGCCCTCCCTGAGGTTCTGTGGCTCCTCTCCAGCCCTCCCAACCCCCTCCCCACCCTGTGACTTACCCACCCTCACCTCAGTTGTGAAGCCTGACCCTCCCAGTGCCTGACGTATAGTCAGCCAAAATGAATGGCGTGCTTATTCTCGACTCCTGCCCAGAACCTTCCACCTTCATATTTGGCCGGCACCTTAAATTTATCACGATTGAAATCAAACTCAGCATTTCCTGCCTGACGCTATACCTGCTCTCCTCATGATCTTGGCTCTTCAGGGCCCCTCCATTCCCCCAGGAGAAAGCACCAGAGTCCTCTGTGTTTCCTGCTCCCTCTTCCCCACCTCCCGTCAGCCACCCAGTCCTAGCAATGTCATCTGCTTTGTCACGCATGCCCATTTCCTTACTTCTGTGAGCTCTGCCACCAGTTCAGACCTCATTCCCTCTTAGCCTGCTATTACAGTAGCCCCTGACCGGTCTCCCCACTACCACCTCACCGCCAGGGGGTCTCCCCCAGCAGGGGAATAGCCTGTCTTGTTGATCCCTTTACCGCTCACCACACCTAATGCAGTGGATACAACTTAGTCGGTGCTTAGTAAGAGTTGAATGACAAATGAGTATGAAGGTGTGCTGTCTGATCAAGCAGACAGGTGGTAAGTTCCAGAACAGTAGAGGGTTTTCCCTTAGAATTTAAATGAAGTAGTCTGACAACACAGAGGGAGAATGACTGTATCTCAGAGTGCAGAGAGCAAATCACCAAGAGGAGAGAAAGACTGAAGCAGGCGTGGGCTCAGGAAAGACGGAGGTAAACAGTGGTTTATGGCTCCATCATAGGAGGAAGGGACAGTCTGAAGAGAATCCGACACAACCCCCCTGTTGCTCCCAGCTGCCACTGTTGAAGACCCAACTCTTGTCCTAGGAGTTCATTGACCCCACCTCACAGATAACATTTTCTTAAGGAAAGGGCTCACAGGAGTTCTCAAGCCCCAAAGACACTTTTGACCTACTGTGAAAGTATACTGAAGAGTTAACGTCTCACAGCACAGAAGAGAAATGTGCTTCTCCAGACACCCTAGTCGAGGCCAGGATTCTTCGTTCCTGGTGAGGATTTTCTGCTAAGTTGTCCTGTTCCTGTTCAAGCTCCTATTTCTGAGGTTACATGATGAGAGGCTTGAATGTGAATGTTCCATAGAGCGTCCCATGATCCAGAACCTGTTGTCTTTACCCACAGCCAAATGACCCCTCTCTTCAGGGCAGCTCAGAACCCAAATAAGCAACTTGCAAATCCATGGGCACAGGAATTTAGTGGAAATTTTGTCTATAGATGTTCAATTACTTTGAGTTTATAGAACTCTATTTATGCTCATGTCATGGAGAAAGAAAACATGTAGTCCTCTGTGAGATGCTGAGCAGAAGATGGCTACTTCTTCTGCCATTTTCCATCCTATCTGGAAAGAATTTAAACATCTTCCAGGGTCTCTCTCTCTAACTTACATGTCACCTGTTCAAAATCACTCTCAGCCTCTCCCCTGACAAGAATATTCTGTTCACTTATGAATGATGGTTGATGCACTAGAAATTTACTTGGATTTAATATTGTTTCCTTGGCTAGGTTTCCTGGAACTTGATTTGCATCATGCAATCATTCCGGCAAAATCATCAGAGAAATGCAGTTTAGACATGATTCCGGACCTCAAAGCCATGGACCCCCTTAAAGCGAAGACTGCCTCACTCTTTGAGCAGAAGTCCATGAAAGGATGGTGGCCGTGCTACACGGAAAAAGATGGCTCCCGTGTGATGGCTGTATGAGTATTTCCTGGCAGATGTTTCGTCCTTTATCAATAGATTTACTCCACATAAGATAAGGAAGTGTTCAACTGGTGGCACTTCAAGTTTTTGGAATGGCTTGTCCCTGGGATTACAAGAGAAGGTGGAAGACGCTGTGAGCAAGTGTTTGGAGTTGGGGGAGGGTGAAGGAGTGGGAATAGTCAAATATCTAGGAGTCCTAGTGGATTCCCTGTATTTCCTTAGGACCCTTCTTTACCAGGAAGTTTAATTTATGCTGAGCACCCAGTACAATTTAGTACAAAAAAAGGAACTTCAAATTTGAGCTGTTCTCATTTAAAAACAAAACAAACAAGCAAACAAAAAAGGGTGGTGGCAGCAGGAAGTGCTGACATCCATTGAATAAGAAGGCTGTAATTTACAAGCAAGTTTGCAGAGCTCAGGATATATTTTGTAATGGAAGCAATAGTTGGGTAACCACGCTGTGTCACAAAAGACTACTTAATACGTTATGTATTATTAATAGCTAACATTTGTAATCACTAATTGTGGGCCACGCAACGTGCTAAGTGCCTTACATTTATAATCTTATTTTTAAAATGAGATTGATATATAATTTACATAAAGTAAACTGCACCCGTTTAAAGGGCACAATTCGATGAGTTTTGACAGATGTATGCACCCGTGGAACCACCACCATAATCAAGATCCAGAACCTTCCCATCGCCCCAAATTACCTTGTACCCTCTACAGTCAATCCTCCCCCTGGCCCCAGAAAACCGCTGATCTGCTTTCTGTCACTACAGATTAGTTTGCACATAATCTTAGTTAATTCTGCTGACAACCCCATGAAGTAGATGTCATGTCCATTTTATAGATTCAAAAACAGGCTTGGAGAGATGGAGCAACTTGCCAAAGTCAGGCACCCAGCTTCGTCTGATTTGTAAGCACAGGAGTCATCAGAGCTCTGCCATCTAAACAAGCATCAGGGTCAGGGCTTCTCAACTTGCTGGTGACCTCGTGGGCTTCCCCAGGTCCTAGAAAGTCTGCTACAACCTTAGTCAAGCCTCGCCATAAGAGTGGGCGGGTTTCTAGACCTCTTTCATTTCAGCTTTGGTGTTCTCATCTGTACAAGAGGACAGCAATAGTCTCTTTCTAGGTTTGCCATGCATGTTGCACGAGAGTATCCATACAGGAGGCTTAAACAGTGTCCAGAACATCCCTCAGGAGCCTGTCAGTAGGGAGGCAGCGTTCATCCACTCATTCATTCGTTCATTCAGCTAGTGTACATCCAGTACCTGCTAAGTGCCGGCCCTGCTCCGCACAATAGGGTACAACAGTAAGCATGAAGAGACCTGCCCTACTTACTCTCTCGGAGCCTACACTTCATGCTCAGCAAATGTTACACTGTTACTAGCAATATTCAGGTGTGTCTGGGTCCAAGCAAAGTTACAAAGGAAGGTGTGCGAGAAGGCAAGGAGATTGATGTGAGAAAGTTAGAAGGACAAAGACAGAGAAGAAAAGCAGGGAGGAGGGAAAGCGATTTGTCCTCTCAGTTTCCCACATGGAGTCAGCTCAGAAACACATGGAAGAGGAAACGTGATGAAATCTCTTGAGGAACATTTAAGGCAATCTAAGGATTGTTTTACAAGAATAAAAATCATTGCTCAGGGAATACTCCTTGGATTGAAGTAAAAATATTTGTGAAACGTGATGTCATGTGTTTAACCTGTTCTGCTTTACTGAAGGGGAAAGTGGAGATGACATTGGAAATCCTCAATGAGAAGGAGGCTGACGAGCGGCCGGCCGGGAAGGGGCGGGATGAACCCAACGTGAACCCCAGGCTGGACCCACCGAAGTGAGAGGCCCTCTTTGTTCCCGATGCTGTCTGACCCCAAACACCTGCAGTCTGAAAGCCCCTCTTCCCATTGGATTAATGGGATGGGTTAGCTGTTGTCCTTCTAATTTTGTGCCTAGTAGAGGAGGTGGGGGCTGGAGAGGTGGGTGACTTGGCTTCATTTTAACAATTTTCTTTTCCCATGAAACCAAAATTCATGTGTCTTCAGCATCTTAGGAAGCTGACAAAGTTAAAGAGCCTCTCTCCGTCAACTAAGGGGACTACTCTCTTTTCCTGACTTGATAGATGTTATTAGTTATTCCTTGAACTGTGATATGGTCTGGGATGAGATATTTGGCCCTCCTGAGTTGGGTACGTAATACCCTTTCTTTGCCATGCAGCCGCCCAGAAACCTCCTTCCTCTGGTTCACCAACCCGTGCAAGACCATGAAGTTCATCGTGTGGCGCCGGTTTAAGTGGGTCATCATCGGGCTGCTGATCCTGCTGATCCTGCTGCTCTTCGTGGCTGTGCTCCTGTATTCCCTACCGGTGGGAACCCCTGGCCTCTTGTGTTGGCTTTTGTGTGAATTGTGGTCTGTCTTCCAACCTGGTATTTGCCTGGATTGCTGCTCAGAAGAATGACCCACTTAGCAGTTGCGGTGTTGCAACCCTTCTGCTTTTGGAAAATTTAAAATAATGTGTCCTGTGATTAGAATTACATTCTTAGGGTTTCACAAATTACAGGCAGAACTTTGAGGTCTGGAAAAAACTTTGGTTTTAGGAATTCTGGGAGAAATCGCTGAGGTCTTTATCAACGTCTGTCTGGACTATAGCCAGCGTTTCCAACTGATCTTCCTGTGTTCAGATTTTTTTGTTCCAAATCACCCTGGATCCTAACTCTTTGTCCTAGCCTTCAAGGATCCCTGAATCTGGGCTCATCATAGGTCTCCAAAATCCCTCTTGTCTACCCAAACTAGATGGTTGTCTGACCGCCCCCAACACTTACTGTCCTTACCTATCTGAATGCCTTTGCTAATGACATTCCTTTGCTTACATTTTGTCTATCAAAATCTCACGTGTTCTTTAAGGCCCATGTCATACATAACCTCCTCTTTAAATTTCCCTTAATCAACCTAGTAGTAAATAGGAGTCTAAATGGGACATGTGGCAGTGTACATGGAGGTAATACCTTCATTCCTTCATTCCAGAAATTTATTGAGCATCTACTGTAGACTAGGAATTAGGTTATAGAGATGACTAAGGTATGATCTCTGCCCATGAGCAGCTCATAGTCCAGAAACCAGCCAGCACGTGAACAAGAACATTACTACGGGAGGCACGCTGTTATAGAGACATGAGCAGATGACTGTAGGAACCCATTGCTGAAGAATGTTTGGCCAAGGAGGGGGCATTTAAGCTCAGTGTGTCAACTGGAGAAGGGATAGTCCAGGCAGAGGGAACCATGGGCAGAAGCAAGGTGAATAGCACGGAATGCCACAGGAGGCATCCAAAAGTCATACTCAGTTCATTTTAACAAAGATAACTTTGTGTTTAGTAGCATAGTCATACAACCACAATTGCAGGGGGTTCTGTCTTCATTTTTCCCCAGTATA